AAAAACATCTCGCACATTGGAAACAAAGTTCATGATAACCTTAAGTAGTGAAAGAAGAAAAGTTAGAGGGTATTTGGGTGCACCATCTTCAAATTTTGAAACAGATCAGTCCCAAGAAGAAGCATGGCTGCCTAATCATGACAACTAAAAGCAGCTTAACTTACAAACTAAGTTCCATCCGAGGCTAGAGCCAGTCAAAATATAAATTGTTTTGATGTCTGCCTAAAACGATTAAAAGTACTTCAGAACAGTACAAGTATGTCTATTTACCGCGATGATTTTTTGTGAGCGTGTTCATAATTACAAAAGAAAGTTTTACAGAAGACATCAGTCTTATGCTTCGACAATTACGTTCGTCGTTCAACCAAACTAAGCATGTCAAATCAAACTAATTACGTTTTTGAAACTGAGCAAGCAAAAGAAATGAACAATGAAGACAAGTCAATATCAGATGAAAAATTGATAAAATGCATCAGTGGAACCTGTAAATTAAGTTCTTCCGGATAAATAAGAAATATTACAACGATAGAAAGTAATATCTCTGAGGATTCATTGTTGAATTATTCCTAGTTGCAGCAAGTCTTCCGATTGGAATGTGATGAGGCTATTTCTTTTAGCAGTAATTAATCTTCTGCTTGTCGCAGCAGAAGATTAAGCTGATTTGGAGGGATGACCTTCTCATCCATTTCTCCCTCCCTCCAAAGATGCTCTTTTCTATTAAAAAATGCAACTTGGTTGGTGAGGATGCATCAACACTGGGTATTTTGTGGATAATTCTTTTACACTTGAATAGAATTCTGTTGAAAATACTTGACAGATGTGAATATAAGTTCAACTCCCAACAAGTTTTAGCCGAGAAACTGACAAAATATGGATCGGATTTTATCTTGAGTAACTGAAAATATATCATGATCTCATCCAACAGCCTGAGGCTTCTTCCTTTGTTGTTGAGACTGACAATAAGTGGCTAGTGGATTTGGTATTATTAAACCTGCTCTCAACTTGGATTATGATATATTTAAACGAGATTTTATGGTTGAAATTTCATTGCGTTTAATAAATCCTTTGCACTTACAATTTTGAGAGTCATATTCGTAACCACCCTTTGAACTGATGTATTGGTTAAGGGCTCATGAATTTTATCATTTTAAATATGACTGAGAAAATTATTTCAAGTCTGATCAATAACAGGGAAATATAGCAAACAGATTATGTTGTTTTTTCCAAAAAAACTTTGCCAGTTGAGTAATGATCTCATAAAAATGCAATTTATCCACTATAGTGAAAGAATATGGCATCTTTCGTCGATGAGGGACATGGTATTGTATCCGTTCCAATTTCTATGACAGATTATCAGAGCGGGTTATTGTTCCGTCAACGTTCTGAATTTCACAACTTTGCATAAAACATACTTGGAATTGAAGATGTGATCTATAAATCTGAGCTCTAATGCTGTTTTTTTTTTGTTAGCCTGATCATTATCTATGGACACAAATATTTTGGCGTCTACTGACACGTTCAAAGGGATGAGTACAGTAATAGATTTATAGAATGATTTAAGACTATGTATATACAGAAAGTTTTAAAGATCTTTAAGAGGTGGAAGAGAGGAAACCCGATAACTCATTCTTCTCTTACAAAACCAGTTCCATGCGTTCAGAGGCAACAATCAAAAGGCAGATTCTCAGAAATAAGAACAGATTTGTAGAAACCACGATAGCGACACATATTGTTCATTTAAAAACGAAATTTTATCTATACCTCAGCAAAATGTGAATTTTGCGCTTCTTTATGAACTGCTATTATGGAGTGTTATGAACAGATGTCCACAAGCAGAATATATAAGAAAGCTTTGCAATAACTTTGCTCACCTATTCTACTTTGATGGTGTATCATAAAATATGTTATACGATAAGTCTGATGCGCCTAAGAGATACAGATAAATTGAGTGGATTCAAAAAGAAAAAAAATTGCACAAAAATCGCAAAGAACCCATCAAAAACGTCTCAAATTCACTTCAAAAAACAGTACTTGCTTACTCCGTGCCTTTCTTTCAACTTTCTTGCGTCCAAGTGCAGTTTTTTCTTCATTATCAGTAACCAAATTTGCCTGCAGATGATAGAAAACCTCACATAAAAATACAAACAATCTCGCTTATTACTATCAGCCTTTCTTACATATGATTTTTGTCATTTCAAAGCATTTGCTTTGTAGTTATCTAAAGAAAAAGAGGCAAAAACGAATCCTTGGAAGCGACAGAAATCATGTGTAAAAGATTGGCGAAATTGTTTGTGTAATTAGCTTAGGTTGTCTTAAATTGCTCCCTGGGCATACTTGGATGCCAACAACGAACAGAAATAAAAATGTGCCCACAGACGCAGGAAATTTAAAATTTCGTCATAGCTACAGACTAAGGACATTCTACATAAAAGAGTGGATTTCAGACTTTAATGACTTACTAATCATGTCTTACTAATCATGTCTTTTGAGTAGTTTTTCCCATCTACATTCAATTATCTATATCTTTTACACGCAACAGACCCTCATAAAGACTGACAAAAATCCTTGTGACTAGAGAGAGCTGATATGTATTGCATGAAATGTCTATTTCAAAGTGTATTTTGTATTACAGATGTTGGACAACCAAGATGTTTAGACGAGACTTTGATAGAGACGCATTAATAGATTTACAAAACAATGCATCCTATAGGACCGGAAAAAACACCGAGATTGTCAAGTGGCACAAAAGGCAAAACTTATGAACATAACTTGTGGAACACACTGCACACAGCGACTTTCAAAAACTGACGGTCCTCCAAATGTAGAGGCAGAAAACCCGAGTTTCTTTCAATGAAAGAAATGATAATGAATATTGGTGACTAGGGAACATTGCTGCCTATCTGCAAGCTTACAATTTTACCAGGCGAAGAAAAATCATTGCCATTTTTGTAATTTTGAGGTTAGGTTTGCAATTTCTTCATACATTACAGCTTCATTACAATTCTGCAGGATTGCAAAAAACTAAAAACATCAGCTTGCATATTACTTTCGAATGCAGCGAAGTTGCCAACTCATTTTCAGCAAAATTGTTGATTAAGCAGTTTTGTTCCTCAGCCTTTCATACGTATATTTGAGAGATAAAAGAAGCATTTGACCAAATAGTAAGGAGTGTAAAATTTCAGTTTTCAGGGTAAATTGTACCATGTTTTTCAGTTAGATTCCGCGTAATAAGTTCCACAGCCAAAACACTCGAGTTTGACTGGTTTGCATTTTCACTTGTGACTACCTTTCACAAAAACGTATAAAAAAAGAAAGGAAGAAAAAAAACCACATTCAGAAAAGGGGCAAATAACGCCTTTGTTGAGCTGTGCTGCTGCGCACAGTAAAAAAATCATAGCTCCGCAGTAGATTTTGGTAAAAAGAAAAACGCTCTTCCTTGCTCAGCTGACAAAAGAACGTACCTACACACTGAGATGAGCCAGGAAAAGCTGGAAATTTTATGGGTACGCCCTTATGTCAGGAGGGCAATGTCTTGAGAGTAACTGCCTTTAATTCCCGATTTAAAAGATCCGATTGTGATTTCAGTTCCAAAACACCGATAGAGAAACACATACACGAAGGTTTCACACTTAAGTTATAGCTTTGGAGTGCACATAGTCTTAGGGGAGAGGATCACCATCAAAGTAGTGATGATTGTACAATAAATTATTGCAAAACTTTCGCAAGTATATTGAGAACGATTTCTCATCTTTTCAGCTGGTATTCGAAACCAAAACCTTTTAGGGTAAAGAGCAAGGATTTCTAATACTAAAGGAATATGGTGCTATGTATTGAAGGTTTCCTGTAGGTTCACTGGTAAAAGATATTCATCAATATGACAAATAATGAAGAGGCAGTAGTTGTATTTTGTTTGGCGTAACAGTTGCAGCAGTTCTGAGGAAATACATGACATTCCTCTTTGGATGATAGGCTACTAGGATACAGTGGGTGGGACTTGTTCAATCAGCATTTTTTTGAGAGGGTAAAAATACTGTCAAAATATTTGGTTACGTGACAACTAGACCATACTCCGAACACATGTCGAGACTGTTGTCAAAAACACAAATATCAATCAATGAGTAACATACTACAGATGTTGCAGCAAACAAAATACGCCTAATCTTTTGACTATGAAATCAGCAGTTAAGTCTGTGGAAGAGTAACCCTTTGACACCGAGAGACGATTGATTAACGATTAATAAGTTGACAGTGATACAGAATCTGCTTTTGTTTTGTTCTTGGTAAGATCCGTTAAGTGCCATGTTATCGTCTGAATGCTTAAATATGAAAATTCAGAGCACAACACAATGTGGCGATAGAAGATGAAGTTTTAAAATGGATCATTTCTGATCATTTGAACTGAAAATTCGTAATGTCCTTCAAGTTTTGGGACCAGAGTCACTTCTCTACAGGGGACCGTGAAGGAGATATGTTATTTTTTTATGATTGAAACTTTCAACCCCCTGTATACATTGAATAATACCCATCGGTCCTGACTTTTTCATTGTTATCGCATGATTCTCTATAGAAATGACCTAAAAAGTGTAAAAACGCAAAAACTCGCGACTTGAAGTTTGTTCAGGGACACAGGTGATCTTAAGACTCAAAACATACCGGGTTCTTGAGCACCACTTCAACTTTGAAAAATCTTAACTCCACTCCTGATCATTTCTCCGGCATGAATTTGGGCTTGCTTTAAAGTTTAGGAACCCTTGATACCTGGAGAAATCTTTCCCCTGCTCTTGCAGTGTTGGGCGCTCAAGCAAGTATTAAAGTCAAAATCTATTCCCTCTTTGAATTATTATGCCTCTTTAAAATTCATTCAGTACCCCAAGCTCTAAATCGTTCATTGGTAGTTCCAGTCCAGTGGATACCAAAGAACTGCACCAGAAAAAGAAACAATAATAGGATTTAAAACGTGCGCAAGTGAACTTTCACAGCTAATAGAAGTAAGTATTTACCTGGACTGGTGCGGCTCCTGTAACAGAAAGAAAAACCAAGAAAATTAGGTTGAGCATGTTCGCAAACAGCAAGAGGAAAATTGAGAGATCTACCCAGTGAAAAGACTTCAAAAAAGGCAAAGGATCTTTTATATTATGTAGTCCTCAAACTATCAATACCTGCAGTTCGAGTTATTTGTCATCCTACAGTAGCGATTTAAGTTTACTCATCAAGCAGTTACTAGTGCCATGTTGGTAAATGATGATAAGACATTTCAAGTCATCAATTCACAACTAAAAAATTTGAAACTTACCGGGGAATCCATCAAAATCTCTAATTGGATCTGGTGGGGCATCAAAACCCTTCAAAGATCTTCCTGCAGGTTCTTGTTGATCCAGAATGTTATTTAACTGCTGTGCCTGCAAAATATACAAATGAGGTTACAGTATCTGAGGAGGAGCGAAATCTAAGGAAATTAAAAGAAACAATTGGACGATTTTAACCAGAGTCAGCCTGGCTGCATTGCACGTTGCATCTTTTCTCAGATGTTTTAATTTTTTAACAGAGAACTTGATTACTTAACCCCTTTAAACTTCCTGTGCATTAACCCTAGGTTCTTAGAAATATACTTACAAAATTTCAAGTTTCAGAGTTGCTTAGTTTTTTATTAAAAGAATGAAATGAGGGTCACCTAGAAAGTAAGGTCTCGAAAGAGATATTCTTAAAAACTGTATGTGCTAAAAAAAAAACCCAGCTATACTGTTTGATCCAGAAGACTCCTAGCTATCATTGCTTCCCAAATCTGAGTACCCTAACTTGCTTTGAAAAAGTAGGAAAGCTTCTTGAGATCGTGCACATACATGAAAAATCACAGGGAAAATAATAAAATTTACCTTGATTTTTAGATTTACTTACAACATAATCTTGGTTGAGATCAAAGTATTTTTGAAGTCTTGGCGCGAGCTTGAAAGTCCCTCTGTCAAGAAACTTTGAAGGTTGGTTATGGCATCAAATCATTATGAGATTTGGCACTTCACTATCAAGGTCCATCCACCATCCATTGGGAACCTTTTTTAATTTTGGAATCTAGCTCAGATTCCATTGGTCTCTAATCTGCTTTCAAAATGGAAATAAACCCCCACTAGTTGAAAGAATGCAGTGCGGACCACACAAAATGTGCAATGGGAGGTAGATTTTTGACGTTTTCACTATGCTCATCTGGATTTTTGGCAAGGTTTTTCTTTTAAAAAGACTTTTCATTCATCTGTAGCTCTTGAGCGCAATAAGACTGTTCTTAGGCCATACCATTTTAAATTTGAAATGACAATCTTAGTCAACATGGGAAACAATAGATTCTTAGGAAAAAGTAAAGCAGTTATGAAGTAAGTTCAAAAGAAAAGAAATTAATTTCAACCATCAAAAATGAAATTCGCACTTACTTGCATGAACAAAGTATTTTCTTCTTGTCTGCGACGCAGTTCATCTTCTTGATGATGCATGCGCAGTGACATCTCTTCTTCTCGTCTCCGTGTTAATTCCTCATCTTGACGTCTCATTTCTTCTACTTGTCTCTCTTTCATTTCCCACTCCAACTTTTGTCTATCTCTATCCAATTCTCTTTGCCTTAGCTCTGAAACAACAAAAAGAAGTGAGGTATGAATTTGACATAGAAAAGTCTGAAGAGCTCAAACAACACTGGCCACATCATACGGATCATAATTATTCGATTCCGAAGATCTTAAAACATCAATGGTTCGGGAAAACATGGGCAAATTGGTGTCGGAATAACAAGGTCAACGCCCTCAAAAAACTCAATGTTCTGAGATAGTATAGGAAACGTCTACATTAGTTTGAGCAGTGAAAAGTTAATGATGCTTGAGGATAAGGAGGACAGGGTGTTCTCCAATATTTTTTGAGTTTTTATAAAAATAATTGACTGTTTAGGAGTTGTGAAGAGATAAAAAGGTTAGCATTTTGAAAACTAAGCACAAATGCATTGTCTACACAAATGTGTTTCTTGAGCTTATTTTGAACAAATTTTGGTTTACTGAGGCCAAATAAAGAAATTCATAGACCAGTGTACTTAAAATTGATGAATAGAAGCATCTGCTCATCTTACAGAATTTTTCTTGGCAATGTTGAGGTTGCAGGTTTGTTGGAGGGTATTTGTGCAGCATGAGCAGGGTGTCTAGTTTTTTTTCATTTTCGGAAATCCTGATTTTTCCAGATTTTTGACTGCTAAATCCTGATTTTTTGTGGTGAAAAATTAAAATTTCAGCTTAAGCGTATGCGAAAGCATAAAAAAATTCGATCGGACAGCTGACTTCTCAAATCCTGATTTTAGACCAATTTTTCTTTTGATTTTTACGAGGAATCCAGATCCACAAAAATTCCCTGATTTTTCTCAGCAAAGTTCCATTCCCTGACTTTTTCCGGTTGCTAGCCACCCTGCATAGATAGTCTAATGGGTAAAAACGGATGTCAGCAGCAAATAAGTCTTTTGCAGGTCAGTGCAGACATTTGGTAAATGCTAACTTTTTGGGAAACTTCCAGATTATTTGGACTGCGCGTTTCTGCGATCCATGCAACGCTCCTTCTTCTGATCAGTTACCTGCAAAATTAATGCTCAACAATTTCCATGATGCTCCTTAATCCTTCCTTGAAGCTCAGTAGTTCCACGGAGAACCCATATACAGAGCTTACATTGAACGGTAACACTATGAAAATGTGCAGTTCAGAATGCCAGGCATCGTGGCCGTTCCTGCCCGGAGCAACTAGAGTCCCTTTATACTGAGAGTCAAGACAACACCCCTCATGGAGTCACAAACAGGAATAAAGATTACAGAAATTGAACGTTCTTTGTGATCTTTGATAGGCCCATTCTTAATTTCCTTTCTCCGTTCCTTCTCTCATTCCGTTTGTTCCTTGCCGAACCCGTAATTCCCTGGTCCATTCCAGATTATAATCTTTGCAATCGGTGAAAATGTAATCTTTATTCCCGTTTGTGACACTGAGAAAGCCTAAAATACAGGAACCAATCAGAAATGGATTCACATTGTCTTGACTCTCAGTATAAAGGGACTCTAGGAGCAACCAATGAAAGAACGATCATCAAGACCAACTCAAAGCAGAAAAGATCAAGCTAACTTACGTTCTCTTAACATTTCAGTTTCATGTTCATATTTTGCAAGTTCCATCTGAGCTTCCAACTTTTCTTCCTCAATTTTCATTTCTCTTTTGAGGGTTTCTATTTTCTCCTTTTGAAGCTCATGCAATTGCTTCCACCTTGAACCGTATTCAAATTCAAAACTTCCAACTTTGGCAAAACGAGGTCCAACCTAAAAATGACAGCAAATTATAATCAATCATTACTTTAGAATGAATTTAAGATTAAAAATTACCAACTACCATCTTCTTCTTTTTTATTGCTTCTACCACAAATAACTCCGTCGTCACCAGGCGCGATGCGGTAATGTAGAAATTGGCACTGATCAGACAGCAAGCACCAAAAAAGTTTCTCACTCTTAGCTGAAGGATGGGTTTTAGTGCTGATAAAAAGCAAAACCAAATTAAAAGCACTAAATTCGGGATGCAGGCTTAAAAATATGACTATGAAAAGAAGACAGAGCAGTTGAGGACCTAGCAACTTCTTTGCTCCTTTTCTCCTTGCTAATAAAAATGACATGAAAATTGGCTAGCTGAGTTCAAACATATCCTATTTTCTATTTTTCATCATCTATTTCATCAAGCATCCAAGTTTTTGAGTGTTTCAAGCTTGCATATAATGGAGCAGCTTAAATTAGTACTATCACGAGACAATATAATGATCTTTATGCCTTGGAAGACCCAACAGAGACACAGCCAATAATGGCTCTGATGTTAAATAGATAGACTAAAGAATTGAACTTACCTCACGGGCCTTGTAGAAATTTGGAGATTTACGATTGAGATTTTTGTCTGGCAAACCATCAACATCATCTAAGACTTCAAATGGCTCCACAAGCACAGGCCTTAGTGAGCTGTAACAAAGAATGGAGGAGGTGTAACAAGTAAAACAATGGAATAAATGCATTTAGAAAAAACAGTGTTTGACTTGGGCACTGCTGACAAGGGGAACTTTGCAACCTGTCACCTCCGATCAGGCTGAAAAATTCCTATAAATTCTTGGAGCTTTTGAACTCTTTGCATGAATCCAATATGAACATGTTTTTATGTTTTGTTTAATGCGCTCTAGATTCACCCAAAAAAATGCCAAAAAAACCGGTCTGGAGAATGCATTAGCCACCCAGTGACTCTGCGTTGGGAGGGCTAGACGAGAAGAAGGAGCACATGTGTCTACATAAGCAGTTTAATACGTCTCCTTGCAAAAGGAGGCTGTGGCTCTAGTTATGGTGGAGTGTTTGTCCTGTAACTGTGAGGTCCCAGTTTTGATTCCCAGCTAGCAGATGGAAACAACAGATATTTTCAATCTTATTAAAAAAATAAAATTTTCAAGATGCATGCTTTCAGCATTAGCCATTAATATCCTCCCAAAAGAGATAATTTCTATTACCTGGTCAGGAAGAAACAGCCTTCTTGACAGCGCTTGAGTGCTGCCATAGCACCAGGTTTACGAGCGAAATCTATAATACCCTCATTTGTTGATACGCCTCTTTCATCAGTGATGACAACAGCTCTTTCGATCTAAACATTCAATTAATAAAACAAATGAAATTTATTGAGAAAAGGTTGATTATAATAGAGGAACTCAAAAAAATAAAACAGTTTTCATTTAAATGAGGGGACCCATTTGCTTTAAAAGCACTGAAGTGAAATAGGCACGAATGACTGACAGATGTGTCAAAGACAAGATGAAGGATTAAATAGAGCTTGATTTCAATTGCAGAAGCTCCAAACAAACACTTTTTAGCCGCTTTAGTCTCAACTCCAAGACTTCCTTTGAGTGATAAATTTATCTGAAATCCTGAGAGGATTCTGGAGGCTGAGAATATTGTAATTGAATTTTAAGGGGAAGATATGAGTTAAGCAAGGCTAAATACCAAAGTTATACTTTTATGAATAATGACCATAGGAGGGCAATATCTGGATTGTTCTGAACTATGCAGCGCCTCAAGATACTGCTTCAGGCAAATGAGGCGCTTGGATTGCATGACATAGGTTGCTAACAATAAGATGAGCTAGGGTTACTTCATGACTGTTAATAAAGACAGCGGGCAAATTATCAATTGTATGTTAGGCTGAAAAGACTAGACATAGCTCTATCTTAACCATTGCACTAAAAATACGATAATGCATTACAATGTCATGTTGTGCCGACATAAATTTCAATAATCGGCTGAAAGAGTCCAATGATATGAATTCAAATGATACGACCAAAGGGGACAATTTGACAGCAAATCTTGTATAAATACATTAAATGACTAAAAGATGCATTGACATATGAATCCCATTTCTAAAAATTAAATTTTTCTTGTTTGAGGAGCAATAAGGAAAGAAATAAGATACTCACATCTCCAAAAACTGAAAATGCTAACTCGAGTAATTCATTTGACACCTGATCAGAGAGATTTTTTACTCTGATAGAAGCTCCCAATGGTGCAAAACGGACTTTCATGGGCCTGTTCTTTCGCATTTTTCCATCGAGCTCTCTCTTTGCTTTTTCAGCATTTGCTCGATAATCCTGCAAAAAATAATCATGTTACTTAAGGATAAAGACGAAGAGTGTAAAATTATATTGTCTCCATTCCTACTGGTATTTGCAGATTTCTTAAAAATCCCAGTGTTAAAAATCTGAACTTCCACTATCAAGTGTTTGTTTAAGCACTGTAGTTGTTTATTGTTTGTCTCAAGGAATCGAAAAGTTACACTGAGAGTTAGATCGACCCATCAACACTTTAGAGCTGTTGTGCAGATTTTTTACATTCTCGAATTTTGATTCAACATCTTCTTTCCCTGTAGATTGAACTATTTCAACGGTGTTGCTTATGCTGATCATCTTGAACGACACTTTTGAACGGGCTTCAGATGCTTCAGCAAGGCCAATTTTGGGCGCGCTTTTACCTTGCTCATAGTTTTTTTGGCACCAAAAACTGTAGGAGACTACTGTTTGCAGCTAAATCCTGCTTAGTTGGACAGACTCCTTTTTGGAAAAACTACAGGAATAATGATTATACATGTAAGCATTGTTCAGATAAAAAGCAGCCAAGGAATTATTTACATGATAATTCAAACGGTAATTCCTAGGTATCATCATCACAAGCTCACAGTAGCAGTTCTCCATTATCACTCTGCACTACTTGTATGATCAAAAATGGAGGAGCAAAAGGGAATCTATAGGAAAAATCATATTATTAAATCAGCTTAGAAAGACACCACCAGTTGAAAAAAAGATTGATTCCTTTAGGAACGGATAACTAAGCAGTGTTCAGATAAAAAGCAGCCAAGGAATTATTTTCATGATAAATCAAACGGTAATTCCCAAGTATCATCATCAACTGCTATTGATAATATTTATTTCTAAAAACCATGCTCAGATAAGCTCAGAGGGCAACGTTCAGATAATAAAAAGCAGCCAAGTGATTGTTTTCAGAATGGCTCAAACGGTAATTCTCAGGTATCATCACTACAATAAATCTTTGAAGAAATCTTGTTACTCTCTGTTTAGAGGAAAACAATGACAACATTATGTAAAGATGACTGAAAAGACATTTTAAAAGGCCCATAAAAATAGCCAACAATATAATTTGCATCTTTTGAAGGGGTTTCTTGAAATTCTTATGCTAACAGAGATTAGTTGTGAAATGAGCTTCTTAGAGTGTGAGTTACAATCAGCTGAAGAAGTCTGCATGTAGAGGAGTTGATAACACCGGACTACCTCTGGCTTTTAATGGAGTCTTCAATGACACTTGTATGTCATTGCCGTGCATGTCCTCTTTCATTCTTGTATGCGTCCCCATCTAGCGTACATTACCAGTGCTCAAGTACTGCACTAGTAATTTTGTCTTCACAACATTCAATGACGACAAATTTCTTTAGTTTAAATAAATTCAAATAACTTAGGGATATGTTTACTTTACAAAGAGAAAAAGAAAATTCTTGACCATCAGCAAAATGTTTGCAAAATAAGAGTGAAAAAAATTATCTCACCAGACGTATGAATCCAAAATTTTTCTCTTTGCTGTAGAATGGTTCAGCTGTCTCTCCATAGGGTTTGAATAACTCAATCAAATCGTTATCGGTAAAGTCTGGGCCAACATTTCCAATGTACAGTCTGCAATTACCCATGAATTTTTTCTCTTTTTCTGGTTGCGGTGGTAATTCTACAGTTGGTCCAGATAGGGAGAGAAGTTTCTCCATGAAGCGATCCTGAAAGACAAATCAGTTGTAGGTACCAATGAAACATAAGCTGAGTAAATCACTGATGTTAAATCTTCAACTTCAGGGTGTAATTTTATGAGCATTTTCTGCAAGCACATTGAGTTTATCAGAGGTATCCACGATATTTTTGAGATCAAAATAATTTATGGCACATACAGGGTGATCTAGACCTCCCTTATACTACATGTGTCTTGAGAACAGCTCAAAAGTTGGTTTTAGGGTTGCAATTTCCGAAGGGTAAATTGACCCAAAGGAACCCAAAAAATTATTCTCAGCCCCCCCCCTCCAACTCCAAAAAGCTTGCTTGGGGATTTTAGTGAGGGGCCTTCCGTTTCATGCAATTTTCAAAAAGAAAGGGTAAGTATGCTTTGACTTCTGATTCAGATTCTACAGGAAAAATAATCAGTTTATACTGTTTTTCCTTCAGATCTCTCTTTTTTGAGTTACAGGAATTTCAGGAAATTTAGGAGGGGTTTTCAATCAGATGCTGGGAGCATCCAGCGCATCAAATTTCAAAAATTAAAGACAATCTGAAAGAGGACAACAAGGTTTCGCATTTGATGTGCCACATAACCTCTGTTAACCCAATTTTATAGGGGCTGCAACCCCTCCGCCATTTTGGGACTTGAGAGGGGGGGGGGTGGTCAATTGAAAAATCAGAATGGCAAGGGTATGTTTAAACTTCAGACTTGGATTTTACAAGGAAAAATACGCAGAATTACTCGTGTTGCTCCAAATTTGCTTTGGGCTCCCTTCTCCCATAAGAAGAAGTGGAAGGGCTAAGCTAATTTGGGGTGAATGAAATTTCAATAAAACTGAGGAGGCAAGATTAGCGGCTTCTGTTAAATTATAAAAGTTTTTTCTGGATTCTAAACCTTTACACGGATGCATATATTTACTAAACTTAGAAATTGGGAAACTTACATTTTCAAATCTATTTTCACCATAGGGTCCACCTTTACCCCTTGGCCCTTTGTTTGGTCCACCCGGGCCTGAATTTTGAGCTCTGCCTTGTCCAGCATTTGGAGGTCTGCCTTGTCCAGCGTTTTGAAGTCTGCCTTGTCCAGCGTTTTGAGGTCTACCTTGTCCAGCATTTTGAGGTCTACCTTGACCTTGTACATGACCCTAACACAGAAAAACCAGAAGTAAATAAAATCATTCATAGAAAGAAAAAAGAGTTGAGTTGGGCAAGGATACTAGACTGTCGATGAAAGCCAGGTAATGCCGTGTAGCAAACAATACTATTAACAATGCAGATATTCTTCACCTACTTACTAACCTGTCTATACATTTAAAAAGTGCATAATTTGATCTACTCAGGGATTTTGGTTTGTATAACCGTGCTATAGCTGTTAATAATGCTTTCAGGAATTGTTAAAATCTTTTTCCCTCTGGATTTAGATTCAGTTGAGGACTTAAATACTAAGTAACAGCTGTTTACCTGTGTAAAATGCTGTACCTCACTCTTACGTATATTTTCCAATTGGCTCTGTAACAGAAGACTGTATTGGCTCTTTGTTTATGAATTCCCTTTATTTTAAGAAATACTTGCACACGATTTTCACGCTGATGCCAGCCAGCCTATCTATCTTTAAACCCCCTTATCCCAGCTTTACTAGTAGAAAAACACACTTGTAGGGCCTTTCCACTTGTTCTCAAAATCAGGAGCAACCCGCAGGTTACGTGGTCGAAGTTTTGCACGCCTGCTGCTGACAACTTAGCCCAGGGGCAGAACTACCAAACACATATGCTAGACCTATCAGAAGCTCAAAATGGATCCTTAGGAGTCAACCTGTCGACTTCAATGGAGTTGCTGAGAGCTAAGAGTTAAGTGCTATGAAACACATCGGAAAAAGCCTCTACAATTGGCTGATAGGAGACTTTTTGGGTTTCTAGGCCATCGGTATCAACGCATCTCAGTCCAAGGCGCTCTTGCTTGTCGCTAAAGAAGACAAAATGGATTTTGGCACGCTAAGATGGCTCCAACATGAACCATAGATAAAATTGGGAGCTTCAGGTCTATTACCATTTAATGTAAATTGGCGGTACATAATATGTGATCCAGTAATAAGTGGCCTGAAGTACTTGATACGTGAGATGAACCTTGACAGAAGAAGAGCAAACAGATGGGTAAGGAAATAAGAGGCATACGTACTTGATCGTCTTTTTTACGTTGTTGATTAAATCGGTTTTGGCCTTGATTACCGCCGGGGGAGAATTTATTAGGCCTATTGGGTCTATTGTGTCCTGGAGTTCCTCCTTCCTTCAAACCATTCTGGGCTGGAGCTGTTTCCACTTTGACACCTGCCATAACTTTAGCGGTAAAATTATTATGCTTCACAACACTAGGAATTTCAGAATATCTCTGGCACACCTCTAATGTAGGGGAAAGTCCGATATTTCAACACAGAGCCCAGAACCGACTGGAATTAGGAAAATAAGAAAGTTGTTGAGGCGTTGAGCCAGTTGACTAGCAAAGTGAATCACAATCAAGACAAGATGGCTGACAAGAAACAAGATCGATAGCCGGAATTTTTTCGGGGAATTTCGAGAAATTGGGGATTGTATGAATGGCAAATATGTAACATACGTACGGTACCTACGGTACGGATGAATTTCATACCACAACGGAAATATTTACAGAACTGATTTTAGAGACTTTAGCGGATTCCAAAAATAAGTCCTGACAAGAAATCTCATTAAAAATCTAAAAAAAGCTCCAAAATCTTCAGAGACGTAAGGTTAATCAAATAGCAGAAAGAATTCTTGGATTGACAGTATGTGGCACACTGTATCAAAAAACGTTGCCATATGTAATAAAAAAAATTTATTACATGCGGACTTTGATAGAATAAGAATAATACAAAATTCTGTACGCCAGCGGCAACACTGATATCAACCCTAAATACATGGCAATATTGTTATCAGCAGCTATCATGCTAAGCATTGCAAATGTTTAATTCTACCGACTGTGGTAATTATTTTGCATTTATACATGCAGTATTGTTAAGTTTAGTTTTGGAACAAAACCGTAGATCGATCATGATTGCCGCGTGTGTGTTAGAGTCAATTTTATCGTAACTTAAGGTGTGTTTTTGTTTATGATTGAAGCCTAAGGTAAAGACATGTCATAGATATTTTTTCTCAATTTCCTTGTTTAATTCATGGTTTTGATTAGCCTTCACTTAGTTCATTTGCTGAGGATGAACCTGAGTATTTCGCAAAGAGCTGAGCAAGCATCTATGAACGTGTTCTAAAGTTTTGCTGTAGATACCATAAGTTGCCTCGGAACACCCGTTAGCAAGTCCGCTCAAGCACGAATTCATGGATCAAGGCACCATCATATGCCAGGCACCGAGTTTACTTTTGACAAGTCATTAGATTTTTTTCAAAGCCCTGTATCGGTGGATTGTGGTCAGGTGTACCTCAAAAGCTCTCTTGTTGGTCCCTCAAATGCGCCAAAGGTGATGTGAATCTCAAGCGGACACATTGAACTTTTTCCATAAGGCAATTACACTAAGTATATTACTTTGATAAGTTAGTGGAATGTGTGCTTTTCATCATGAAAGTGGACGTATTTTGTAGGTACCACTTATGGTGACACTGATTTTTTAATTAGTAAATTAAAGGAGATTTGGATTTAATCTGTTTTGCATCGGAATGGAGATGGATTTGAATAAATTAACAAAGCCCAATTCACTGGTTCCGCTTTTGTTTTGACTTTTCTTCCAGTTTTGTTGAATTTAAAGTTGGTTAGTGTGATATTGACACGAGAACACAACCATCGGCCGAAACGTCAGATAGCAACTTGAATTTTGACGTCATGTTCTACCTTTCACCCAATTGGGTCGAAAGTCGAAAGGAAGTTTGAAACAAAATCCTCTGATTGGCATCAGTTGAAGCTGTATCTTAGGCAGCCAGAGGCTGTCAGAACATGAAGTCTGTTCGACGATATTACATGGCAAAGGCAATTGAATCAAACTTCGTTGCCCTCAACTATCCATCTACCTGTCCATCCGCTTCTGTCAATTGAAAAGTTGACTTGCATGAATGGGTCAGTTACGCTGGTCACAAAATCGCGTTTGGTGCTTGATTCTTGAAGATTAGCAAAAAATAATACGACCTACTCAAACTACAACTTTCTACGTTCAATAATAACGGAGATATCGCCCTTTAAAAAGTCAGGTTTTTAACGTCATCCACCGCGGCAGTGACACCCTTGGTTTCTTCCTCTTTTGTTTGATCAGTGATGCAGAGGGTGCAATGCAAAACTTCACTGACGTTAAAAGTGAAAAACTCGTGAAACAGAAGGCTTCGCATTTTAAAGATCTTCCTATCAAGAGATAACGCATCGGCCACGAAGAGATAGCGGTCAGTCAGTTCACCTCAGTTTGTTTACGTTTAACGTCGCCAAAGTTTTGCGTTGCACCCTCTGCATCACTGATTGAACAAAAGAGGAAGAAACCGAGGGTGTCACTGCTGCGGTGGATGACGTCAAAACCTGACTTTTTAAAGGGCGATATCTCTATTATTATTGAAGGAGTAGTATTAGTAGGAAGTTGCGGTTTGGACGGATTGTATTATTTTCAGCTACTCTACAAGGATCAAGCATCAAAACACGATTTTGTGACTAACGCAACTGACCCATTGGGGTCAAGAGGGCAAGCTGTGAACAAAGTACCACCAACTCCTGTGACACCACTCCTTGTTCCTTATCAAACACATGTATGCTACCTCCTTTTTTTCAAATTGTTCTGATTTTTGTCCTATGCAAATTACCCTTATAATTCTTATGCTGAGGTTTTTATTATCTGTAATTATCTGATGATGAAATCTAAATTAATCTGACTGATGCATTCTATTTAAAGCTTATCAAGACAGTAATTATTGAATATCAGTTGATTTTGAACTTTTTCAACATTTTTCATGTAGATGAGGGTAAGTAGCTTGCGTTGTAATTTTTACCTTGTGCAGTAATCTATTAGATTACACAAGTATCATGTCTCTCTATTAATTAGTTATCTAATTCACTGACTTTGATTCCTCTATCAGTATGGCTCCACCTGCAAGAGGACGAGGAAATGTTTGGGCTGGAGGAAATCCCATCAGTAAAGCTCCATCTGCAAGAGGACGAGGAAATGTTTGGGCTGGAAGAAATCCTCCTGTACCTCAGATGTCCCAAGCTGAACGTAATTTCCAAGAAGCCAAGAAGAAAAATGAAGAAAATGTGAAGCGAGCCCTTGAAAACAATTACGAAACATCTTCAGACGAAGATGAACTTGGTAAGGTCTTTCTTCCAACTTTCACGGAGAAATAACGCAGCCAAATCATCTACTGAATTCAGCCTTTCTTTTTCTTTCAAGGCAGTTTGCATCAGTCAAGACTCTGTTGCCTCCTTGATTGAATAAATCATAACCAGTCAAATTTTGTAAAGTGAATGCACAGAAAGTAATGACTGTCAGCAGTATGTGAGAGATATTGGTTGGAAAAAATTGCCCAAACCACTTCCACAATATGCAAATTTTTGGTGGCTAGAGCAGGCTGCAAAAGTTTAATGAAGGTAGACAGAAAGTTTTGCAAGTGATGATTACATTGTTATTTCATCAAATATTTTTCCCTTGTAATTTACTTTTCTTCTAGAGGAAAAAGTGTATTTAGTAGGTGGGCATGAAAGAAATCAATATCTTGTTTATTTTATTCGAAAATATTCATTCAAATGTGTTATTTCGAGACACATATTCTTTCATTTTGACCATTGAACAAGATCTTTATTGAGAGCAATATTTTCAAGCAAGACCTCTCGCAAACTTGCATGTGTGGGAGAGGCTAAGTTTTCTGAAGTGGCAATGGAGAAAGCAGTGAAGGCTTGCACATGGATCGTTGGTAGCAGTTTAGGCTATAGAAGAATCCTCACCTCTGAAACTGAGTAGAGTTTATAAGCAGTTAAAAAATTGTTACAGCATTATGATTTTGAATTAAAAAATATCAATGAACAACAGTCTTGGCCAATCACCCTATCATTACAACAAGTGGAAACTGTGACTGCAGTTTATCCTAAAGTTGTGAGACCTGGAGCCAGCCACAACCTCTCCCTCCCTCAAGGCAAAATTTCTTGAACCTATTTGAAATTTTGGCTGTCTGGTGTGCGATTGCATAATGCACATTACTGACCAATTTTTTTTAGTTATAATTGATCGTTTTTAGAAATCCAGAAGCATTATTACTTTGACCAAAATCTTTATGTAATGATCCTTTTAATTTTTCATGGCTATTTTCATTGAATTCAAAATCTTACGTCTCTCTCGTTTTTGCTTCCCAATCAGGGACATATGTCGTCACCTTCCAGGCAAAGTATCACAAGCGCCATGCGACGTTTAAAAATTTCCGCCGCCATTATATTTTTTTACTGAGAAATTGTTGGTTGAATCTGTTTGGAAATTTCACTAAATTTTATCGGCAGCACAAAGAAAATTCAGTGAAATTTTCGGACAGCTTCGTTGAACAATTTCTCTGTAAAAAAATATAATGGCGGCGGAAATTTTTAGACGTCGCATGGCGCTTGTGATACTTTGCCTGGAAGGTGACGATATGACGAACTGCTGTCCAATCATCTGTCAAATGATAAAGCCACCCTCAACGATTGCCTACCTTTTAACTATCATTTCTGTCTCAACCGCACCCCATTGTGGAGAAAAGGGTTTATTGCATTGGGGATTTGGGTGTTATATTCGGTTCTTTTCTTTTACAGATACTAATCAGGATAACTCCGACAAATCATCAGTACTCTCATCAGTCCTGAAAGCATACGCCAACTTAGGAGGCTCTGTTAGTCATATTGGGAGAACTGAGCATGACATAGAAAGTCAACTTCAATCAGGAGCTATTACGTGCCTTATCTGTATAAGCAGCGTCAAACGACCAGAACAAGTATGTTTCCTCAAGTTGCTTCTGTGAAAGATGTTCTCTTAGTTCTTTCTTCTTTCAGTGATCTTCATTTTCTCTAAAAACCTGTTAAGGTGGACCCTGTAAAATTCATGCATCTTTTTCTTACAGAGATGTTTCAATAGATAATCAAGGAAGTAAAATCATTTATCAAAAGTTTGATGATTATCGTATCTTGATTCTTAAGTATTGAGAGAAGAAAGCAGAAAAGTGTTTAGAAAATTATCATTGATCAAATGTTGAAAACTAAGAGGAAACTGAGTGTTTTTGAACTGGTTGTCTTTCTGAAATGTTTTGAAACCATGCGTAACCACCATTGAAACCATTCCTCAGCTCTTTTTTTATCTTTTAATTCATCCTTAGATTTTTTTTTAATTTAAAACCACTAAGGTTACATAAATTTATTCATATTGAAATTGGCTCAATCCTTTTTTGGTTTTGTCTCTTGTTTTTGATTAAACTTCCCATGAAAAATCAGTGGAATCACCCGCATTTTTAATTAAATCATTTTTTGCGTATTCTTTACTTTACAATTTTGTAGCAGTATTTCCTAATTTTTTCAGTGATTTGCATTGAAACCTTTGGGAGAAAAAATAAGTTTTTATGTAGGTATAATCTAGAATTTAAATTAATTTTTCGTGGTTACTTTCAAGAAATGGATTTATTATAAACACATGTTTTGATATCCAAAAATATAGTGATAAAAATTACTTCTTTTAGATATGGACTTGCCAAAAGTGTTTTTGCATTTTTCACCTACAATGTATGAGGCTTTGGGTGCGTGACAGTGTCTCCCTCAAAAGGATCAAGGAGCCTGGGAAACATAATGTTAATTGGAATTGGTAAGTATTTTCATTTTCTATCATCTTTTATCTGCAGTAAATAAGTCAGGCCGGGCTGACCGGCAAGGAGCTATGGCAACTGGCAGGAACCCTGCTTAGAGTACCTTTATAGACAGAGTATGGCCACTTCTGTTCCGGGTTTTCATTGGTCGCGTGAAAATAGGCTGACAAGATGTTCTTACGGCCGTAAATAAACAAACAAGATGGCCATTATCAGCAAGCAAGATTGAGGTTATGCACATCTTACATCCTCCTGTGATAAAGGTGAAAGGCGATTTAACAATGTTTTCGTGTGTTATTCGTAGATATGCTTGTTTAAATTGTTACTGCCGTATAATTGAAATTTTTGTCAAATTTAGCTTCTTATCGATGTAAAGGTGAGCCGCCATCTTGTTTGTTTATTTATGGCTGTAAGAGCATCATGAAGCCTAAAAACTCGTTGACCAGTCAAAAAGCGGAACATTTTTCGTGTAGTATAAAGATACGAATGGCCATACTCTGTCTATAAAGGTACTCTAACCCTGCTGTCGTGCACCACGAAGTTGGACTGTGCTCCTTTACATTGAACTGTTCTACATTCTATATTCTCGCAAGGCTCAGTGGCCGTCTGATAGCCAACAGTAAGTTGAATTAATGACTGGTGGAGCGCGGATGTTCAGAGCACGGCCATGCCCCCACCGAGTTGAACTGTTTCGTTTCAATCTCCACTGATAGATAGCGCTGGCAGTTGCGCATACTACAAGTGATCACCAATTTTTTCACAGCCCTTATCTGCAATAATGATGCCTAATGTTGAATTTGCCTGCGCAACAGGCATTATAAAAAAAAAAAAACCGCCCTATGAAGACTATTATTGTTGGTCTCGTCAAAATCTCTACATTAATAATGTATTTTCTCTTCTTTTTTTTTCTTTTTTTTGAAACCACGTCGTTGTAGCATGCCTTGATTTTATTTTACCACAAGTTTGTCCATTGTTGACAGAATGCAAGGCTCTCTTTTGCGGGAAACAGGAACACAATTGAGGGAATTTACTGTGATGCTGTATTGTGAAGCAAGTCTATCATTCGCAAGGATTTTGACATAATAAGAGAAATGTCTCAAAGTAGTTATTAGAAATTGAGATGTGAGCTTCCATCACAGTTCACCACTTAATTTATTCAAGTTCTATGCTGTCATTTTGATCTGTGTTATCTCTGTGAATTTTTCTTTTCTGTAGTGACTTTACAATCATTATGTTAAATCTAAACATTCTTTCCAGTCCAAACTGTCGGAGTGAATATGAGCCGAGTGAAGCACCTGAGCGTTATTTTTGTTTTTGTGGAAAAACAGAAAACCCCCAAGTTCACCCATGGCTTATCCCACACAGTTGCGGTGAAACCTGTGAAAAACCGCTACAGCCATTTTGCGGTCACTATTGTCTTCTCCTTTGTCATCCTGGTATGTTATCATTCTTTAACTTTTTTATCAACAGCTTATCTTTGTACATAAAAAGTAAAGAACCACAAACCCTTATGAACATAACAATATCATTTTTGAAAATCCTGCATGCAATGAATTTTAACAGTGTAAAATATAATTAAAACTAAACCTACAAAGAAACAGAATGGTCAAAAATGACCAGGTTTACCTTATTTTATGGGAAAATCAACGCCAAAAAATGCATCCTCTTTTTTCTCCAATTTTCCTGCAGAATCGTGCGGAACCAGCACTATTCTAATATCTATCTTATTACTCACAGTATTCAGGTCACATTTTTAGTGTCTTTTTTCTCTTGTTTAAAGAAATAAATAACAAATTATTTGGTTTACTGTAAATCAAAACTCAGCAAATTAGGAAATCTGAAGAAAACTCTTATCTTTCAATTCTCTTGTAAGGAGGGCTTGTATATGCATTGGACCAAATTTTATAAAGAAACTAATCAGATAATATGTTAAAGTTATTTTGATCAGGTAAATTTACTCATGATACTTTTTACGTTCTATTTTCCCTATTCTAGGACCATGTCCACCTTGTCCAAAAACAGTAACGTCTAAGTGTTATTGTAAAAACAGTTCAAAACAGCAGAGATGTGGAGCACAAGAGTGGTCCTGTGGGACAATATGTAAAAGGCCGCTTTTGTGCAAAAAACACAACTGCACACAGGTTTGTCATAAGGATGATTGCGCAGCTTGTCCGAAACAGTCCAGCCAAAAGTGTTTTTGTGGCACCTCAACACAAACAAGACCATGTGCCTCTCCTCAGTGGCAATGCACTAAAGTAAGTCATGCCTGCAATTTTTTTCAATTTTCAAGTTGCTTTATCTCTTGACTTATTTTGACTGTTGTGAGTTTCTCATTGTTTGGCGCATGAAGGCACATGGAGAATGCACATGTCACATGGAGAATTTACTAAATTCTAAAATATAAAATAATATCAAAGATTTACTAATGTAAATCGTGTTTTCAAAACATCAAATTGCTAATTATTTTGATTTAGAATGATTTTGACATTTTTCAATCCTCAAATACATTCATTCTTCCTCTTTATAATCAGCCCTAAGTTGAATCACCATCTTACTCTTGCAGGTCTGTGGGAAGCCTTTAGACTGCGGCAACCATGTGTGTGAAACAGTTTGTCACAGTGGCCCGTGCAAACCGTGCCCAATAAATGGTGTACGGACATGTTCCTGTGGTAAAACCACCTATGATCTGCCTTGTAATGTACCTGTACCCAACTGCGGGGATACCTGCGATAAACTGCTTGAATGTGGATCTCATAAGTGTATCCAAAGATGTCATAATGGTAAATGTGGGTTGGTAAGTGATTTTTTGTATTTTTTAAGTAACAGTATATGCGCTCCGGTAATGTTGACCATAACCCAAGGAAACGGTGGTTAATGTCAAAGAAATGACATTACCCAACGGCTCTTGGGTAATGTTAAAACTTCCTTTTTTGTTATGCTCCGGGTGATATCTCAATATTGTTTCGTATTTTTGGCAATGCGTTGATGCGGCGCGGCGGAGAAAAAAGCTGATGAGTTAGGTGAGAATGTGTGAGAGGAGGGCCAATTGCTGATAACAAGCATCCTCATGTTTATTTACAATTAGATGTTTTGCCAGTTGAATTCGTGGAGGGCAAGAGTTAACAGTGTCGCCTCATCACTTCTAAGAAACTTAGTGCGTATTTTTTTTGCGTTTTTTAACGAATTTTATTTTTACTACCCCCATGCATTCTGACATCGGTAAAATGTCAGAGGTTGGTGTGAATGAAGAGGCGTTTTATGAAGAGTTTTTCAAATTAATATAGACTAAACGAGACAATGATTCCGGTTTCTTCAGTGCAGAGCGTTATCGTGAACTAGTGGAGCAGGTGAAAAGTGCAAAAACGAGGAATGCTGGAAAAACTCAGATCGAATACAAACGTTCATATTAAATATCCATTATTTAAAATTAATTTTCGTATTTCAAAACTTTAAAATAAATTTTAAAAATTAATTTAAATTTTTCCGCACCTCTTCACAAAGCTTGTTCAAATTGAAAATAAATAACTCCACAGTATTAACGTCTTTTCAATTTGATTATAAAAACCTAAAGCCCCTTATTTCACTCACAAATCACCAAAAATATGTATTTTTAATCTACTTTTAGACATTACCCAGAGCGGTCTCGATAATGTCGACAATACCCAGTTTCTCATTGGGTCATGTAGACATTATCCGGGTAATGTCACCAACTTTCAACACTACCCAGGAGGACTGGTTAATGCCGCCATTACCCGGCAGAATTACATTACCCGTAACATATGTAAGAGTTTTCTTGAAATATTCCAAATGAAAAATTGCCTTTTTTTCAAAATCATTTTGAAAGCATTGACGTTTTCCATTAAGAAGAAAGGAATATCCTAGAATCATAGACTGCTCAATTTTTCTATGACTAATGCATAAAAGCTGTAATTTTTATCATGATCTTGCATCTTTCATTTCAATGCAGTCATTTCTTTTGATGTTTTATGCATCAGTGTCGCTTACATTTTCACTTTGTTGGAGACCTCAATCAATAAATTTTTTCTTTCTTTTTTCTAAATTACATTTCTGTTTCCTTTTTCAGTGTCTAGAAAGGATTGTAAAGGCATGTCGTTGTGGCAGAAATTCGAAGGAAGTTCCTTGTGCCAAGCCTTTTTTGTGTGAGACAAAGTGCAAGAAAACGAAGGATTGCCTGAATCACCCTTGTAATCGGAAAGTGAGTACCCTAAATTTCCACAAATTTAAAAATGTATTCCTTCATTTTTTTAACAGGAGCTCTACAAGTGATTCGTAAACCATAAGGACTGATAACTTAAAGGAGAACAACATCAGGAAAAAAATTCCTGACATTGGTATAATAAGAGCCTGTTATATGAACTAAGCAAGTAAAATTTTGATTATTTGGTGATTAGAGGCAAAGCTTTGTGTCAGTGATAGAAACCTTGGATAATCGAAATGGCATAAAACAACATGACATTTATGAGAGAAAAGTGGTGATGCTCACCCTATTCAAGGGAAAAAGATGTAATTTTCTGTTGCTTTGTTGCTGTTTGCCTCTTGATGCAACAAAGATCAAAAATCATCCCCCATATAGATGCTGGTTGGGTCAATGGCTACTTGACACTGGTTAGGTGAGACGTTACAGACATGCATAACTAATGAAAAGACATGCTAATCATGGCTAAATACATGTTTAGTGTGGCAACAGTCAGAAAATACCTGGAAATTCAAGGAAAAGTCAGGGAATTTTGTGGAAGGTCAGGGAATGTTTTTTACTTTGAGAGGAGACAGCAGTGAGTGCGATGTTCAACTTTCCAAAAATGACCAAGGGATTTTTTTTTTAAATCAAGGGAAGTCAGAAAATTTTAATTTTGGAGTTCAGTCGTCACCCTTACATTGTTAATACCTCAGGAATTCAACGACGTAGCAGCTTTTTAACCCACTATGGTATGGTGTAATTCTTTTGTTACTATGCATATTTTGGTTTCTTAAAAATAGAATCATTCCTCTGTGGCATGATGTTGCAAATTTGTATCAGTGTTTTTGTTTTTGAAAACATGAATCCAAAAATTTTGAAATTTTGGAAAAACAATTGGAATTTAATGTTTTTACAAAAGCTGCAGCATAGATTTGCATCCCCCAGAATCCAAAATCCAAAATCAATTCATGCCATAGAGGGTTAAAATCTTGTTATCTACCACTATCCAAGCTTCATTGCGATCACTGCCACAATTCTTGTGAACTATAATTGTTGCAGCCTTGTTGTTGCACTGAATATTTGGTATGCCAGATAGTCAAGACATCATTGTCTAATTGGAAAGTGATAAAAGTTACTATGAAATGTGATGCATTTTCCATTAATGATACATACATGCACTGTGTATTATTTTTATTCCCTCATTTGTTATTTTAATCTTATTTTCCTGTCCTCTATGAAAAATGTCAATTTTGAGAAGAACTGATGCAGTGATTTTCTATAATCTCTTATGTCTCAATTTGATGCGTTAAATAATTGTCTTGTTATTTTTATTGTAGTGCTGTGATGGAAATTGTCCGCCGTGCGAAAAAAAGTGTGATAAAACCTTAAGCTGTCACAATCACAAGTGTGGTAGTATGTGTCATCAAGGACCATGTTTTCCATGCATGCTCAAAGTGCCAATCACTTGTAAGTGTGGTGGTACTAAAATCGAAGTTCCCTGCGGGACCAAAAAAAGAATCAAGCCGCCAACGTGCAACAAGCTTTGCAAGTAAGATTATTTATTTTTCTTTTTACTAGAGTTGGGCCAGATTGTCCAGCTCATTTGGAATGCTGGATGGCCTGGTCTAATACCGGATATCCAGCTCTGATCAGATATGAGATTTGGGGGTTTCTGTGTCCGGCTAAATAAACGTTTTATCCTGTATTCAATCAGATCCAAAAGGTGCTATTCCAACTTTGGAAATTCCATGAAATTTATTTGCAAATGTGGTTATCACCAGAGTTCCATTATTAACAAGACAGAAAGTTAGTTTCCACAACCATAGTGTGATCTCAAATTGCCTTTTCAAAAGGGCAAAATTGGCTCCTAAAGCATACTATTTCTGCTGAGCGTCGTCTGGTGAATCGCGGATTTTTTGGAAGACCCACTTTTTTGATGCCACAACATGCCACAGCACCGTTTTTATTGCAATTGGTTGGGCTGTCAGGACTCTATAATGTTTTTGCTTGCTTATTACACAGCTTATAATTTACTTAATTCTTTGTTTGTTCTTCTTTGTCATGTGTTTTCAGGCTGTCACCAAGTTTGCTTTGTCACATGTTGTTTTTATTTTTATCAGGTTGCCATCTGCGTGTCACCATCCTCACAGGGAGGAAAGGCACAAATGTCATTTTGGGTTTTGCCCACCTTGTGAGCAAAAATGTAATCTCAGATTAAAATGTGGACATCACTGTCAGGCTAGATGTCATTCTGCAGTTGTTGTAGATGTCACTCCCAAAAACTCTACTTTGAAGGTACTACATTTTAATCATGTAGATTTAAAGCGAATCTACCTCATCAGTCACAGATTTTAATTATTATTCTAGCTTTAATGTTAAACTTTTTGCGGAGATCCTTTGGATATTTCCTTAACTATTCATTCACGTATTCTTGTCAGCCTAACATGAAAATTTTTCAAAGCGCAAAAGAAAATGAATTTTTGAGTTGCAAACTTCAACTTGAGAAGTTTCTACTGATGAAAAATGCACCTGCAGATAAATTGATATCTTTGACACCTGCTTTATCTGATTTACATGTATCACGTATCATAGACAAGAAAAATTTTAATTTATATGAGTTTAATATTATGTGAAGATTTTAATAAAATTTATTTAACCGCAATTTATGTGCTCAGTATCTGCAGTCAATTAACAGTAAACTTTAAATGAACTGAAACTTTTTGTTGCATGATTTTTTTCCTTACTGTTTTTACACTAATCCACAGTCTTTTCCTTATTTTCCCGATCAAGACTTTAATCTTGTCTGTAATTATTTTGTTATGTTTTGCAGGGAGTTGTAAATAAAGCTCAGAAAAAATTACCATGCCCTGAGTGCAAAGAGCCTGTGATTATATCATGTTTAGGGGGCCATGAGCAAATGACTGTTCCGTGTAAAGAAGCTAAACCTACCGCCTGCGGCAATGCGTGTGGAGCACCTCTCGAATGTACTAATCATTTTTGTAATAAGCTTTGCCACGATAGGAAAGTAAGTTACAAAGCTCTTGTTAATTCACATTTACCTACAAGATTTCTCTCCCTTTAGATTTTTTTGAGCTCTTCAAATTTTTTAAAGCTGGTATGTTTCACTGGTCACGGAATCATATTTTCACGTTTAATTCTTTTCGAAAGAAAGAAGTAGCATACAAGACCTGGTGCCAAATTTCTTTCCACTTTCAATGTGAATGAAGCTATTGCACGCCTGATGAAGTGAGGAATTGCAAATCATAGGCGTCAAACAGAGTTGGCCAAAAAGGGTTTCACTCTTGAAAATGAGACGGAGTGCTTCGAACCAAACAATTCATTTGTAAGATGAGAAATGCACTTTAAACTGAACTGATGTGCATATCAAGTTTCGGTCACAGTTCACAATAGCCCCAATGGAGAATTTGCACGCAATTTTTTTATTGCTTCATCTGAAAGTGCCTAATGAGCTGAGTTCGCAATATTTTTCATAATTTTTTTCTGACATGGGAAATTGGAGAAAAATTGATTTAAAAGTGAGAAAATGTGCCGCCTTGTGACGTCATCTGGCGGCATTTCCCATTTAAACACATGTATTCCAGCAGAATCGGTTATTTTGTCATATCTCCTCTAATAGTTTCTCAATTTATGAATCAAGGGTATCTTCGTGTTCAGTTCACTCAGAGGATTCCACTTAAACAGGAAATTCATCAAATTTCAGACCCTTGCAAATTCTCCATTATTTGAATTTCTCAAACAATTTTTCTCGTACTCCTCACTAGGATGTTACATAGTTCTGCAATGATTCCATATGAATATATCTGGAACTGAATCCTACCTACCTTTATTTCTTTTTATTTAGATGGAGAAATGTGAAAGCTGTGATCGCCAGTGCGAGAAACCAACCCTGGAAGGTTGTACACACCCGTGTCTCATGACTTGTCATCCAGGGAAATGCAAACCTTGTACAATGCTATTGAAGAAGCGATGTCACTGCAATGTAATGCAGAAGTACATAAATTGTGTTGATTGGTGCTCAAGTGATGCTGAGCAGAAAATTAAATTGCAGTCTTGTGGAGGACCATGCCCTAAAACGGTAAAATCTCATTTCAAGGCTAGATTTAGCACATAAACTTGACCTCAAAGCTGTTACTTCAGGTGAATCGTAGAAAAATAACTGCAGCAGAGGAGTACATGTTTCTTTTTCCGAGGAATATCAGAGGTCGAAATTCTCTGTCTAAGTATCCTCCTAAATGAAATTTTACTGCAAAATTTCAGACAAATGCTCAGAAATTTTCAAAAATTTCTAGTGTATTTGATAATGAGTTGCACTCATCGAGCAATGATAAAATGTTTGACAGTCCGAATCCAGCCTATCGCCTGCACCCTGATTATTTACTTGACTCAACTATTCATTTTGGTAGATGCTATATATTTCTCTCGTTGGATGTCAGGTTGCTTCTTTCAAGGTCCGTAGACAAAACAAATTAATAATTACCCTGCAGAATGCTATTCTATCATTGCTCCTGCAATTTTGCCTTGCAGATGTTCCCACATACTTGAGTTTTGCATGCATTATTTATACAATTTTATCACTTTTTACAATTATCTTCATCTAATTTTTTTTTCAATAGACTAACCACATTTTCTCTAATGGTACATCAGATCAAGCAATAGTAAGCTGCCAAGTGGTTGCATATTAGTAGTGAAGTTGCAAAGATGCATATCTTGGTTGTGGTATTTCTAAATCTCCACTCCTATTATATGTTTTAATGTACATAGGTGGATGTTTCATTGTAGGATTGTCATGTGTTATTAAAACCAACTTCACTCTGATCAGATAATTTCCTTTTCCAGTTACTTTGCGGACATCCATGCACAAAATTGTGCCACCCGGGCGAGTGTCCAAATGCAGACCCTTGCCGGAAGAAAACTAAAATTTCTTGTTCTTGCAACAGGATCAAAGTTAGTGTGTCCTGCGATCAGGTTCGAGCTGGCAAAATAGTTGAATGCGATGATGTGTGCAAAAAACAGAAAGAAGCTGAGATCCAGGTAAAATATTCAATATAATGATGAAATTTCATAATTTTTAAGTTTTTGAAATCCAAACTTATTCACATGTAAGTTTGTTTATTTGGCTCCTTCAACTGTTTCAAAGTCCCTTCGGATGGATCTCAGTTACACAAGGTGTAGCGTTACTGCCATTAGCTTTGACGGATTTGGAACAACCTATGCGCAAGCACCTGATTTTCAAGATCTTTTTGCAACATCTCAAACAGGCACGTTGCTCTTGCAGCCTCCTTGCGTCTGGTGATTGACGCTAGGCAATCCGCAACCAAATCTCAATACCTTGTTCAAGGCAATCAAGGGATAGTGTAGTGCCTAACAGCCGCGTTGGCTTTGAGTCATTATTTTGAATTGATGGCATGGGATTGGTTCATTGTTTATTAAAAGAGAATGGAAACCAACTAATTCATTCAGGATGACGAGTTGCAGCTAATAAATCAGGTCCAAAGCCACCTTCTGCTACACAATTCAAAGGATCCTTTGTACAAAAACAACCTTAAGCGTGATGCTGTGTGCTCATTTCAATATTAACAAACAAGTCAAGAAAGTTCATGGAATGCAAAATTGCTCTTACTCAGAAGTGATTTCAAACATTAAGTTAATGAAGCAGCAAACTTTATTATTACTGGTAGAAAAAGAGCCGTCCCTAAATTACGCCATATTATTCCATCACATTATTCTTGTACCGCTACTGTGGAAGAAAATATCGCATATAATTCCTCTACATTTTTAAGTTATTTCAGGTAGCTTTGGCTCTTTTCTCCTCTAAAAATTTAGTCTAGCTTGAAAAGATCTAAAATAATTATTTTTCAATTTATCTTGTGTGATTCAGTGCATATCTGAACTCCTGCTTTCTTTAATGATCAATAATATTGTCAATACTATCTGCTTTAATTTCCAGCGAAAAAAATCGGAAGAGGCTGAACGAGAGAAAATTCAGAAACAGAAAGAACAGGAAGAATTTGAAGCATATCAGAAGAAAATGTCACGAGGGCCAAGAAGGAGGAATGACCATCGAAGAAGAGAGGGAAAGGAGTCTCACTCTGTTGATCATTACAAACTCATCATATTAGGTTTTGCCGGTTTACTTTTATGCGCACTTCTGACTTACTACTTTATGAGTTAGTGAAAGTCCGTCATCAGCAGAGTAGGCAAATTAATCAACATTTAAGATTGATTATAATCTACCATTTCAGTGTTCAATAGCCAACCAATCTAACATTGTACATCATTTGTAAGTGTTAGGAAGTTTAGTCAAAGCCATGAGCCGCCAGTGGCCAGGATGTACAGAATTTAATTAATTATAATTTCTGATAAGAAACACACCAAAGAACAAAGAGAGCGGAAGAAGTGAATCGAACTACTTGTAGATTAGGTAGGAGAGCTGAAGTCACACCCTACGTTCAGGTCTGGCAAAATTGATATCCCTTAACAATACCAACAGTAATTTATTCCAAAAAAACTAAAACTTCTTCGATGTCCGATGATTATAGAGAAAACAAATAAAAAAACACAGGAATTGGCTATTTCAGATATACTAGGAGGACCCTGCGCTTTAAATGCGTACAAATAAAAATTGTAGTGGAACTCATTAAAGTAAGATTGATTATTATGAAATAATCAATTTTCGTTCGGTAGAATTGAATGCCCTCTAAATATTTTTGCTTTCTCAGTATCAGAAAATTCAGCCAGGCTAGAAATTGCCCCTAATGATTTTCAAAAAAAAGAAAAAAAATGAAGTTAAGCATAAGTAATACTCAGCACTCATGTAGTTCAGTTACAACATGGTGTTCAATCAAACTGGTGCTATTAAAGTCAGTCATCTGGCACGGATTAACGGTTTTACAAAAATCGACAATGATTCTAATTCTCCCAGTTTTCTCTCTAACTGGCCCAATGGTTGAAGCCCATCCAGAGTATGTAGCAGGTTCTAGTCTTCAAGGTTTTACTAGATTGAGAACTATGTTATGAACTTCCTCCAATTGACTAGATGTAATTTTGAAGAATTTATGCATTGGGTCCATGTTGAAATTCTACTCAATTTTTTTTAGTGCATACTCTCACCATGACATATACATTACTGATAGAAGGTAGGTAACCAAGGAGAGAAAAAAAAATTGTGATGTGTTTTTTTCAGCAGAAAATTAAATTCAACGATTCACTACCTCGAACATTCACAGCTGAAAAGCTTTACAAAATGCACAATACTTTGTACAAATTTAGCAATGTAGAATACATGCCAGTAGGAATGCCCAGTGGACATTGCCCACTTTAATTTTCTTTTCAGAAAAACCTGCCAAAGGACCTTTGTACTCGAACTTTTTCTGCTGGATGATTTTTCTACATATCTTTGTTTTATAATGCAACTTGTGAAAGCTGCTCTTTTATCACCAGTCAGTTTCTCTCAACATAGCCAATGTTTTGATAGATTTTTCAGTATCCCATTGTTAATGTCAGACTCGTTATAAATTGTTCATACTTCCGTACTTTTTTCACCATTTAAATGACCTTTTTCACCATGTATTCTGATTTTAAACGATTCTTTTTATCTTAGTCCCAACGTAAAATTTGATTGTTTAAGAAACATTGCTCAATTTTCTTTGACCCATTTTGAATTTTCATAATTTTATCTTGATCTTTTTTCATTATATCTTTTTTGTTCTATACAAAACATGTTTGCTCATTTGACAAAATAATTTAAAAATAAATTATATTTTTGCTGCACTGGATATTTTTTTTTTCTTGAAATTTCTTGCAATTTTATTCTGTCAGGGATACTTTGCGGATTGCAGGATAAAAATTTGCAAGGGTAATTTCACATTTCGAAAAAAGAAAAAAAATTAGATTATCAGAAGAAGATGAAATTAGAAGAAATTTTGAAAATCAACTAAAAGATGGCGAGGTCATAGGACATTTTGTCAACAATTTGTCATCCGGGCACCTGTTTTTTCTAGTAGTTTACATCCTCGCGTTTTTTTGGCATGGGATCTTTGGGCCACCTATCAATTGAGATCCAAAGTTAATTGGTTTTGTTTTGTTTTGTTTTGTTTGGTTCAATGGAGAAAAATATATAAGTGAGATTTTTAGTAAAAATGGGGGAGCTTTAATTCCGTGAAGGAAAATTCACTAAAACTCTCTACACCTCTTTTTTGCAACAAAACTTAATTATCTTTCAAGAAAATCCCAACTTGTTAATACCTTAACCAGGTAAACCTTTTGATTTGCCTCAGCTAAAGGCTCATAATTTTTTCCCTGTGTATGATAACTTCTCGACGGCGCTGGCGTGCCTCGGCGCTTGGAGCTACTATTTCGCCACGGAAGTGTTGCACAGTACTAAGAGAATAAGAAGAGAAAATAAGAGGTATAAGAGATTAAATGCACCCCAACATATCATGAGTGTTGGCATCTTTTAAAAGCACGAAGTTCCCTCGCAAATTAAATCGAGTGATGACGACAAAAAAAGAGCAGTAGTTGAAAAACTTACTAAGTTGTAGTACCTGTATTCAATAACGTTTAGTATGATTTTTTAACTTCATTAGAGGAAAAAGTGACTTGATTCAAGCAGAAATATACCCAAATTTACCGCCGAAAAGATTTCCTCATGAATCAATAAAGAAAATAATGCTTGGTTAAAGAAGAAAAGATGCGTTTATAAAAAGAAAAGACACATCAAGCAGAAACCCGCTTTTATTCAGCTATTTTATTATTGATTCAAAATAAAATCTTCTTGATGGCACACTCAAGAATGTTCCTGTCTAAATTGAGTCACTTTTTTCTCTGATGAAGTTCAAAAATGATGCTAAAAATTATTGAACTAGATACTAGGACTTTGCAAGTTTTTTGACTACCGCTCTTTTTGTGCTGTAGTACCTTGATTTATTTTGCGAGAAAAGCTCAAAGGATGCCTGTCATTCTTAATATGTTGGAGCGCCTTCAATTTCGTACTAGCACGGTGGTGCTAGGTGCACGGCACGGTCGCGCCGTGGCACGCCACGGCTAGCGAGAGCGACTAGCACATTAGCGCCTTCAAACCTAACTGGGATACTTCACGCATTGCGCAATGCGTGAAGTATCCCCGTTAGGTTTGAAGGCGCCAGTGCGCATTTTGCGCTGGCAGCATGCTGCTCCGCTCTATGTTAGGCTCTAATATTTAAACTCACGGAGTCAGCGTTTTTCAACTTATGATTTTGAAATGTTTGCACGCTCTGCATGGATTATTCTCATTTAAATTGATAAAAAAAAAGTATGTATTAAAGTTAAATATAATGTGTGTTTTGTACATATTAAGGTGGTTCCGTGTCAAATTTAATGATTTCCAAAGCACTTAAACTTCGTTCTTTTATATTTTGTGCTTTTACTGTGCTGCAGTGTGGTGCACGCGCAACTAAATGCTCAAAATTTGGCGTACTTGACGCTAAAAGATCGATGTACAAATGGGTTAAAACCAAAGATTGCGGGCTTCTTGGCTTTTTCCTCTTTCATTCATTTTTGTACTGTTTTTTTCAACACAACTACGGTTCATTATCGAGATTAATATCGATGCCATCTCTTGAAAAAGGTTTTACATATATTTGCCACATTTTAGAACTGTAAATATTATTAAAATGCAGTAATATTTTCATTAAAAAAAAAAAAAAAAAGTCTATAAGGTAACTTTTATATCGAAAATTTTAAGGATAGAAATTAAACCAAATATTCACCAATCACAATTTGAAAAGATGTCGAAGTCACTGTTGCTTATTTAATGCGTGGACATGAACTACTGGACAAGACAGGTGCGCGGACAAATAATCGTCAATGGAATGTCCTGAAACCTATGGCGATGTCATTGAGAACTAGAAGGAAGCAGAAGGGGGAAAGTCAAAGTGAGGGGAGGGAAGTTTAAGCTCAAGGAAAGAGGGCGTTTACCAAGATTTGAGTTGCAAGAACAAGGGTTTGCAGACAGTCAATCGCTCTGATTAAAGCTGATATAATTCCAAAAATGGATAGGTGTAGTCATCATGGTTTCAAACAAATCTGATGGAGGTGAAGCCTAACTGACTAAGATCGGGAGACGTGCAAAAGAACTGCAAAAAAAACTGCGAACATAGAGTTACCACAACACGGGAAACTGTGTGTTGATGATATCAGTGAATAACAGGGTGGGGGTGAGAGCCTGCTCATTGTGAGTACAACTTGGTGAGTCAACTTCACTTCCTTAAATTAGTCCAACTTGCACTGGATTCAAAGATTCAAATTCACTTTTGAGCAAGAGAGTCGAAAAGTGAAAGTTAAATGCCAATGGCACAATCAGTTAACACCTTGGTTGAAGAAAGTGACTGATAAAAAGAAATCTATCTGAAAGGAGGTTAGATGCAAATAAATCAGTTCAAAGTAAATTGTGTTAAGATTTATTAAAACAATAAATAACAAAATTAAGGAAGTAACAAAAAAAGAGTAACACAAGTTCTTGAGATGGTGGTAAACATTATGCTTCTTACATTCATGTACATACGTTGATTCCTACTGCCTAAATTTTACAAATTTTTGAGCATTCTTAAAAATAGATTTGTGTATGATGCAATACGTAAATACATGAAGCTTATAAAACAGTATTTTACAGAATGTATAGTTAAATTTTCCTTTTTACATACATTTTAAGAAAATTAAATTTTTATGATTAGGTGACTTCCAGATAGGGCAAACTTTCGACCCTTTTTAAAAATATATCATTTACGCAGAGAACTTTTCTTTGGAAATCATCTGAATGAGGCTTATGAATCATCAGGGGATAAATTATTACCTACATTATCCAAGCCGTAAAAGAGTGGTTTCAAACTCTGGGAAATCTCAAAATTTAGTAGAGAATTGCTTCACTCAGTGAAAATTTTGCATTCAATTTGGTTATCTTTCCTTAATTTTCATCATACATAACTATGGACCCTGATCCATAGAGAGGACAAGAACTATTCCCAGTGATAAACAAAGAGGATACTCAACCGATGAGGCTTATGGTGACAAAAAGATTACCTCCTTCATATTTTTAAGGTAAAAAAGTGAGAGTAGGTCCCTCATCTAAAGCGTAGCAACAGATCAGAAGACATAATCACATGTTAGGCGGAATTTCTAAATACTTCTTGATATTCTCATGAAATTAAAACAATTTAAGACATGACTGACCAAAGCATTCCTGAAGAGGTGTGGTCCCTCTATGATGGGAAAATCTTGAGATTTTTTCCTGGAAAATTTTTGGGACATCAGGCGAAGGCTTGAAAGAAACCTCTAGTGGAAGGAATTTTAATGAGGTCTTTAAGCTCTTACTCTGGACTCTTCATTTTGTGCAACATATCCTTACATATTTTCATCAATTCGGGTTCTGCACAATTTAATCAAGGTTGAGTAATACGTATCTATACTGTAAAAGCTGTTTGAATAAGATGAGACATCCGTTAAGATGCTTTTATGTTTGCCAAGGGAATCCTTGGCAAAAGCAAAGTATCCTAAACAAAGGCAATAATTTCTTGAAGTCAATCTGGTCTAGTGGGAATAATCTTTTATAGTTGTACACAGGATGGGTGTAAGAAATTGATTGGAATGGCTTGAGCAAAAAAGGCACTTTCAACTGGAGCTTTTTGAGCTCTTTCAGCATTCAATGCCTAAATCTCAAGACTTCATTTTAAAGGAGGAAGGAATGAAACCAGACTTAAAAAACGTTTCCTTGCTCTGCCCAAAGCTTTCGTTTGAAAAAAGGGGAAATGAGCAATTTTTGCACATATTACAGAATTGAGATATTGCACATCGGACTTGAAAAATCCTTTACAAACTCTCCTTGGAATCCTTTCATGCAGGTTTTAAATCAAACAACAAATGGAGCATAAAAAAATGCACAAGTATTCTAAACCCAGCTGCGACCAGAGTAGAATATTTATTCAACAAATCCAAGACAGGGAGAGCATGGACCTATAAAGTCAATTCCTGCGCTGTACTCCTCCCCTCCCATTTCTGACAATTTATCTGAATGCTTGATTCGAAATTTTGCTCAGGGGCATGTTAGATAGGCACACATTTGAGAATAAAAAAACATTAGAAATTTGACCTGAACACTGTGAGTAACAGGGTGGTAAACTAAAGCTGGGTTTGGGTTTACACTTGAGCGATATAAAGGGGAAAAACTTAGAAAAAAGGAAGAGGAGGAGAAAAATTTGGATATGAGAAAGGAGCGAAACAGAAAAGAGGGGGGAGATAAATTTAAACCGAGGGACCAGCTTATTTTGAGGAAAAAGAAGCAAACCAGAAAAGAGAGGAGAGGTGAAAAGGTGACTAAAATAAATGATCGACCGAAAGGGGGAAAGAAAAGGACGTTCTACTGCAAATAGAAGATTTGCATTAAAGCATGCCACTAAATTGATGGAGATTGAAAGCGAGAGTGATTCAATTCCACAATTTAGGGGTTAGGTTGAGATGGGGACCATGAGATATTTTGGAATATTAAACGAGATAATTGAATAGTACGTTCTAATAGACACAGAAGGTGCTTATTAAAGCAAGTCGGCTAATTGCATGAAACTTTCACTATCGGAATAGTGAACGTGGCATGCAATTAGAGGAGTATACNCTGTACTCCTCCCCTCCCATTTCTGACAATTTATCTGAATGCTTGATTCGAAATTTTGCTCAGGGGCATGTTAGATAGGCACACATTTGAGAATAAAAAAACATTAGAAATTTGACCTGAACACTGTGAGTAACAGGGTGGTAAACTAAAGCTGGGTTTGGGTTTACACTATTCTGTGTGGAAATCAAAGCCAGGAAAAGTCGATTATTAAATTGAAGGCAGTTCTTTGTGCTTTAGAATCAAAGTTGATATTAATTATCCCATGAATTTATTCATTTGTTGGGGAGGGAGTAAAAGAGACAGGGGGGAGGTAAGTGATATGCCACGGAATTTCCTTCAATTGAGCACTGTTTCTTTTTGTTTTGCTTTTTTGTTTGTTCATTTATTTATTGATTTAAATTTTACCCCTTTTTGAATCAGTGTTACTGAATTGAAGGCAACTTCCTCTTTTTCTCAATTAAAATCGTAATGGATGCTACTACTGGTCTCTTCTAGGAGTCATACTTGCATTTTTAATATTACAACTCAATCGTGTGCCACAAGAACTCATCTTCTACAGATATTTTACAACATGCTTCGAGAGATATATTTCCTTAATGTCCGAGTGTGATAGTTCAGAGGCAATGAATGTCTGAAGATTATTCAAAAGGTTTTAGATTCACTAAGGTTTTGAAAAGGCATCCTTGAATAAAATGTTCCTTCCTCCTTCTATCTTCAAATGAAAAGAATAAAAACTATGTTGTGAGGGAAGTTAAAATCTTCGGGAAGCATTAGCTGAATATATTTCAACATAATGAACGATATTAATGGGTGGATATTTTTATGCAAAAAGTTTTCCGATATTTAGTAGCAGTTTATCTCGTGTTTACTTATGTTTTAGTGCTCTGAAAAAAGGGTGAAAGCTCATTAGAACATTACAGCCAAACTGTGTATTTCAACTTTAAAATTTAAATTAAAATACCTGGAACACAGTAGGTGTTAGCAAAATAGTAATAGGTGGCTTTAAATTTGAATGCTCCAAAAACGCAATTAAACCATTTAAATTTTTAAGGTAGACAAAAACTAATTCCTACAAAGTTTCATCAAGATTAAGATATATTGATGGTCAAACTGCAGAAAACGAGAAACTCGGTTTGTGGTGTTGCAGACTTACAGCCATACTTTTGCATTTTGAATGGAAAACTACTCAACGTCAATACTTGAACACTTCGGTGATTTTCCTTCTGTACATGAAAAATTTTCTGATAGAATTTCAAGTCATGATGTTGGTGGGTCTCCACTGAGTCAGTTAAATAAGAGTGGAGATTTTTAAATACCTACCACAACCGATTAAATCAATTTTGCAGTTTCATCATCGATTTGTACTTAATTCTAACTTGTCTTCCATGCAGTCTTAATTTCAACATTGCAGTTGTAATGCATCAAAATTGAGGCTAAATGAGGGATAGAATTTAAACTAGGCCATCTCTGAAACTTCTGCAGGAATCAGTTAAAGAAGCAGGAGCAACAAAAATTTAGAAAAAACCTCTTATTCACTGGTCGAGTCACCTTAGTGTAAGTAATTGCATAGACTTACTTCCTTCAATTTCCTTCATTTAAGCTTATTCCTGCTGTGTGGCCAGTAACGATAGTTAATTTTATAACCAATTGAATTAATATTATATACAATTGCTAGGTTCCTTATCTAACAGTCTTTAGAATTTTACTTTTAATAATTACCATATGTTTTTACAAAGTAGTACAATTTTACATTTCTTTTTGCGTTTGCAATGAGAATTTTTGATATTAAAAAAGGAAAAATTTGGCACTCAATGGAAAAACAATACCAGACGTGGTACCTTGTTTCTGACAGCCTGATACATGGTACAGCTGCTCTGAACATACAGTGCTAAATAATTCATACAATTAAAACATTTTTGATAACAGAATGTACACTTACAGTAAGGTGAAGGAGCTTCTTCCTTCTGTTTGCTCCGGAAAGAAATCAACCTGGTTTAAGGATTAAAAAGTTTATTATTTTTTTATTCAACTTGAGAGAATTTTTTTTTCAAAAATTGGTCAAATTGATCAATAACAATGATGTTCTCAAAGATAACATATATAGCAAACTCAACTTGTGATGAGGCATAGTGATAATGCTGAAACAATATGCTTGACCTTACTTTAGTCTTCATGTTGAAGCATAACCCCATAAGTAAGGATCCTTTGGAATTCAAAACAAAACAAAATGAATGTCCGTTATCACCTTGAAATGAGAGATCTCTACAAGGCAAGTTTGAACAATCCACAAATTATTTGTAATTTGCCCCTACTTGATGGGCCATTCCCGGCATAGGGCATTTTTGGAGCTTAAAAATTGCTGTTGTTCTAAACATCTGTGGGTTAGATCATTCTAATCCATCAGTTAATCTGCAATTTTGGTTTGATCAACTTTCATCATCAACAAATTTTGCTTAAACTGCATAGCTGAGGGATATTTAATTAATCAAACAAACTCAGGCATTATATTTGAGGCAACCACTAATAGTAGACCAAGTCCGTAGTAAGGTTGAAAAAACCTCTAATATATCGTATATTGCCACCAGATGTGGGTCTAAAAGCCTCTCTGAAGGAAGAGCCAATACTCAAACTATTAAAATACTCTAAGAGAAATGGTCTCAATCCTTCCAATTTCGACTTTTAGAATCAATGTAATTATTGAGTGCGCAGAGAATGAGAATGGAGAGTGCAAGGAATGTAGCATTGAGGGTTCCTCCAGAACTTAAGCAAACCTCAAGACTTTGCCATGTCGACTTTAGGTTAGGGACTTGACACAGAGTGCTTGCCCTGTAGTGCGGCAAATTTAGGACACTTCATAAATGAAATATCTTTGATGACAGTCTAAATTTTTCCTATTACACAATTAAATTTTTTTAACAAAGATGCAATTTTTATACTACATACTTAATGTGAAAGATTGCCTTAAGGACCTCGGCAGCATCATGTGTCTTACATGCTGAATTGTTGGGTGAAAGGATGCACATTTCTGAGCATTTTTATCAACAAAGAGTTTCAGTGTCATAAAGGTGCCTGTGTGAACGTATGTATGTGCTGATTGGCAAATGTAAGAGATTCACTTTCTAAATGCATAAATGCCTCACGGTTGTTTCCAAAACTTTCAAAAATTCATTCATTGCATCAATAATGTGAAATAGCCTAGTTTTAAAGCATTGATAATTAATTAACATTTGAAATCAGGTACTTAAATTCTAAACATTTTTGACCTTTTGATTGACAATAACTAGTGTAAAACTACCCTGTTTGAAAGAATACAGAGGGAAACCTGGACGCAAAGTTTCTCAATAAGTAACCAAAGTAAAAGATTGTAAACATACATATGAAAATTAGCTTCCATAAAAATCTCAGTTCCCAATGAAAAGTTGAATGATTTGATGTTTAACCCCAGGATTTTATTTTCCTTCTCCATATTCTAGACTAGTACATAAACCTAAAGAAATTTTGCTCAAAAGGTCAAACATCTATGCCACTGGAATGAAGACATCTATTATTATTAATCTTTATGAAAACTGCAAATGAAAATAAAGAAGGGAGGGAATGGAACATTGTAAAAGGAAAATAAATTAATCGAGTTAATCAAAAATAGAAAGAAAAAAGAACAATCATACATTCACTTAATAAATAAATTTAGACATGTAGCATAAAAATATGGCACTATTTTCTTAAGAAAATACAGTTGAGCTAGGTAACAAATTTCATTTAGAAAGACATTGAGAATTTTACAGAGTAAGAGATTTTTGTCATCACAAATGGAGAATTTCAACATTATTTTCATTATTTTTGCAATTGACCTTTGCTACGTAACAGTCAACCACAGATAAAGCCAAAATTTTATTGAAAAACAAGGTGGAAAATTAATTCTGTCCTTGAAACTTGGCAAGTATGTTCAGCGAGAAAATTTAAAGGTCTTCATGATCTAATTTTTAGTAGGAGATCACGGGGGACACTGTCCTGCCAATTAAGACAATCATTGGAAAAATCATTTTAAGGGGCTTAATCATAAAAAAATCAGTGGACACAAGGACCAAAAATTTGTATTTGAGATGTTTTAAATGTTTTGTTTCAAAAAAGACCGTACCATGAAAATAGTTTTACTCCTTTCCTACTGCGCATACCTAACAGAATACCTATAAAGCAGAACTTTAATTGAATTTTTTTTCGAAATTATATCATTAGATTTTATTATTTTATTAGTACAGTAAAGTAAATTATATTATTATTATTTTATTATATTTTATTTATTATCTTTGTAGGTGTTTCTTTTTTTTTTTGGGGGGGGGGGCAAAGCATTCGATTGCTGCATCATATTTCCAGACATTCATCCACATATTAATCAGAATTTCTGGTACTCATTGAATAATGCTGTGACAGAGTAAATTGAGAGAAGTCCCTTAAACACCATAAAAAACTGTTGGCAGTACATGTCAACTTCCCTTTGCCTCCCGTCAATCTGCCCAGAGAAGATTTCAGATCTCATATTGTTATACAAGTAAGTCTCCCGATATCACGGGATCTACTTCTTGAAATTAAGAATTGAAACTTGTACATAAAATGATTACAACAGGAGTAACAGTGTGAAAGATTATGCCTATACTTTTCTCTCAAGAACTCAGTTTTTTGGCCACTTCACCTCAGAGAATGCAAATTTTTCGGGCGTTGTGTCCATTGAACCTTTAATGAGAAAAAGCTCAAGAAATAGTGTGGACTCCAAGTCTTTGATTCCAAAAACTTCATGAAAATAATAGAATAATTCAAACTTCTACATGGCAGTGGAAAGTCACCTAATAAAGTAAATAGCGACAGCCTACTAGGAAGCACAGTGCTTCAAACAATCAGGCAACTGGACAACAAAAAGGGAACATTGCGAGCATAACTGCTTGGTAGCACTGCTTCTCTGAGTAGGTTCCGTGCCAGGTCATCCTGTAAATTTCGACATCTCTGTATAAATACAACTCTCATAAGACTTATGCTTCACAAGTATTTCAATTTATGCTTTTTCAAAACTGACTGAATTGATGACAAGAAAAATCTACGAACTCTGAAGATCTCAAATGATTTGTTAAAATAATAATTCAAACCTACAATCAATGTTTGTATTCTGGATACTTTTTTCCTGGCCGGATTAGAGCTGACTGTTCGTTACCAGACGATTCGATAGTATCTCTAGACGAACCATTGCTGTGTTCTAGAGCCGCTATGGTGACGGTTGGAGTTGCCCCAGATCCGACTGAGGATGAATCAGTGTTGCTATTCGAAGGCGGAGAAGGATAGTATCCTCGATCTCCATTCGTCAGAGGAGCGGGCTCCTCCGTTGCCCCAGGCAAGACTTCTTCACTAGCCGATCGGACTAAGACTTCTTGAGCTTGAATAAAGTCAACACTAGAAGGCATTTAGCTATCCAAAAAAAATTTCTAAAACACTGAGAATGAACCACTAAACAGGGTAAGAATCAAACTACCGTAAGATATGTTTCCTCACGAAAATTCAATGCAAAACGAGGTAGAATATCGAAAAATTCAAATATCTCTTCATATGCCAAAAGTGACGATAGGTCAACTTCTCACATATCTGTTGAATTTGAAAATTTTTGGCGTGTTTCTAGTCTTTAACCTGAATTTCGTAGAAAAAACAAGTGTAAAAGAGTTTAATAAATAGCCCTGCATAGTGGTTGATAAGGTCAAAAATCACTCAATCCTTACCCATCATCTAAATTATTACCAAGAAATTACTGTAAATGATCTTTCCATAACGGCTGGTTAGTTCCTATTTTTGCCTAAAATTTCGTATAAACGAGTAAAACAGCATCTAAGCTACTGCACTCTACGCAGAGTGTCCAATTTCATACCACATATAATTCAGGAGCTAATCTGACCTAATTTTGGCTCCTGAAAATTGCAGATGGTTTTCAAAAATTAGGGTTGCTTGTGTAAAAGTTTTTGGCTGAAAAATAAATGGGCTAATTTTGGGAAGAAAAATTTAAAGAAGTGCAAATGTGACTGGGTCTGTAAAAGTGATGTTATATTTAAAGAAAAAATTGTCCTTAACTTTTTGCAAGTGCATGGAGGAAGAAAATTTGGAAATTTTGGCGCAAGTTTGACCCTGCAAGCTCAGATTGGATGAAATATGAGTCCTGCAGTTCCAAGACAATAATTCCTACGTTGAAGCAAGAACATGCTTTTAGCTTTTGAAAAAAGTTAAGGCTAAGGCTCCAAAGATAAGGTCTCTTTTCACCAGGTCCGGTCACAAATAATGAATTTGAGTCAACCTTTCCAGTTGCTTTTGAGTAACACAGCAGGGTTATATGAAAGGAAAATTGTCTGATTGAAATTTTGTCCCCTGCATGAGGGATCCACTTCTTTCCTCCAGCCCAGGATAAATGTAAAATACCCATGAGAACCAGAGCTTGCATCTGCTGCTGTCATGGAGCACTAATTTTCCTATTACAACTGATTGTGACAAATCAATGCAAAGTTTAGTTATATGGTAGAACTTAGAGGTTAGCTTTTAAGGAGAAGAAAAAAGAATTTGCCATGTGGAAGAAAAGACTGCAAGTATGATCTTCTCTTTCTAATAACCTTAAGGATACAACAGCACATCTATGTGACCTTGCCTCCACAGGACGTTTTCATGAGGTTTGTCGCAGGGTCGAATTGCAGGTGATTTTTCGAAGTTACCATCTCCACTGAGCAAGGATCTCACATTCCTGTGACGAGTTTTTGCATGGGAAGATAAATTGGTAAAAATCAACTATTTAAACGGAATCAAGGTAAGGATAAAGACAATTAATAATTTAACAAAATATTTAAATTAAAGAAACACTAACAATCGAGTAAACAACATAATGTCGCCGATTTGCTTTTGCTTCTTCTTCTCTCAGTTGGTCTTAAAGCTCTACGACAACCCTCCTTGGTACTGTAATTAATATTGAGTTAGTCAATTATTCGACGACACTTGCAAGTGCGACAAATCACGGGAAAACATCCTTTGGAAGCAAGGCACAAGAAGCTTTCATGGAGAGTATTAAAAGCAATAGTTTGACATTTACCTTTCACTATCAAGGGTATCGACTACGGGATGAGAGGAGGGAAGATGATCCGCTGTTTCATAAATTCCATCCTCTTCTTGAAGATGGAAAGGTGAGGTTGCACGTCTAATAGGATGCCGATAACGACCACAAACTAATCTAGGTTCTTCCTCTCGCCCTCTACACCTTCTGGAAAAACCAGCAGAGAACCAGAAAAATTTAATTAGACATACAAAATTAATTAAACTTTGACTGAAGAGTGCAATTGCATGATAATGAAGGTCAGGGAGAGCAAGTATTTATTTTTTTTTTTTTTTTTTTTTTTTTTTTATTTTTATTTTTTTTTTTTTAACAAAAAGATTTCTTCAGAAATTTACTGGAAACATTTATATACTTACAGCAAACAGATTGCAGTTCAACGCACAAGTTGCTAAACAACTAAAAAACTGAACTGTCTAAAACAGTGTTGACGATTTTGCAACATGCATTAAAATTCGGAATAAAACTTAAATTCTCATCATGGAGGAAGAAAGCACAATTTTCTATCAAAGGGATACGCTGTTTGGTACAATACTAATTACTATCAATATGGTAGGCAACTACAGGCACTATTCGGGTCTAATTGAGCCCGTCATCAGTGCATTGCAGCCTCCTGGTTTTCTGCTTCTAAGTTTAAAAAGGTCCTAAAACCAGTCCACGGTTTGGTCATGCGGTGGCAAGCAAATCTTCCGCCGTTTGGTGAGAGAATCATCCAAACTGCTCCCCAAAGGCAAAGGCAAGGCTGTTAACTACGGATACATTGCAGCTCCGCGCACAAGTCATTTGGATAGTGTTGGTAATTTTGCCAACGAGTGTTGAAATGCAGTATAAAACTGAAATTTTGATGGCAAGGGAATGAAAAAAGCCAAGACCTGCTGCAAATGAGACATAGCTAGACTCTCTGGAGACAATATAATTACTTGGAGAATTTAATGATGAATTTTCGAGGGAACATCATCTCACCCAACAGAAAAAATGATTATTACTGAGTTCATATGAGCCTTGATTAATAAAAATGTATACATACCCACTCTGCATATCTAATCTATAGTGCCTGTCAGCCTCAGTTTCTGACATTCTAATATCTTCGCTACCTGAGGGGCTCATATGTCTTGCTGAATGATGCTCCAACTGTCGAATTAAATCTTCTAAGTTACGTATTCTTATGGGACCACAAGAGGGAGGCACATCATCATCTTCATCATCTGACAAAAAAAAGTAAGTTAAGACAAAATTCATAATAAATTTTGATATAAAAGTGATTAGAGGTAGAAGATGAAATTGTTGTAATAGGCAGAATGTTTTCAAAGCTTTCTATAAATTGGTCATTTTTCAATACCCGATTTTACCCGGACTCCAAAATTTTCGAATTCCCAACCATTCTCTGACATTCGATCAAGAATTTCACTTAGATTTTCCTTTCAGCTACACTTTCTCCTGCTAAATGCTGCTCCCGTAACTCCCGCCCTTTTATGATGAATTCCCGCTTTTTTCCTGGTTGCCATAAAGTCTCTAACTTTTCAAGTTTTCCAGACCACCGGAAACCCAGTTGGGTATCTTATGATTGTGTTTTCGTGGTTAAATCTTTAAGATTAGTGAGAAACAATAAATGGTGTTGGTTTTTTTTTCCATCTTGACAGCAGTCCAGTGTTGAGATATTGTCATTGTCATTGGAACTTGATAAGACTCGGCTGGGTTAGAGTTAAGAAATGAGTCAGTAATGGTGTCAAATTGAGACAATTTTTCGATCTGATAAAACTGGTTTCAAGCTGTGATTTAAGCTTTGACTAAAAAAATTCATCATCCCAACAAGAAGTTACGGTATTCTGCAGTTCTCAGAATGTTGAATAAAGTGACATAACACCCTTTTGATCCTGGCGGTGCATAACGTTTGCGCACACTTTTCACGAATATCATTTGCACACAATTTTTACCGATAACGTTTGCGCACACTGCACTATTTGGCAATGCTGCAATGATGCGTCAGTAGTATCGCTTCGTGATAAGACAATTCAACGGACGGATAATTTATAGACGGACGAGGGGAAATTTTCATTTAAATAAATTCCAATAAGCAATCAATAAGTAAATGAATAAATAAGTTAATAAGAAGAAAATAGAAAATGAAGAAAGTTAAGAAAATAAGGTATATGGTTACTCACAGATTTTTCGCTGTTACTTCAGCTAAAAATGCTGTCACTGTCTTCACCGGAATCATCTTCAGTGCAAGGACGGCTTTTAGGGCTGTTTTTGAATCCATTTCTGAAAATGGTGCTGATGAAACTTGCTCTTCAAATGCAACCTGCCCTAAAAACAGCCCTAAAACCCGTCCTTGCACTGAAGATGATTCTGGTGAAGACAGTGAATCTGTGAGTAACCATATACCTTATTTTCTTAACTTTCTTCATTTTCTATTTTCTTCTTATTAACTTATTTATTCATTTACTTATTGATTGCTTATTGGAATTTATTTAAATGAAAATTTCCCCTCGTCCGTTGAATTGTCTTATCACGAAGCGATACTACTGACGCATCATTGAAGCGTTGCCAAATAGTGCAGTGTGCGCAAACGTTATCAGTAAAAAGTGTGCGCAAATGATATTCCTGAAAAGCGTGCGCAAACGTTATCGGTAAGAAAAGTGTGCGCAAACGTTATGCAGCCGATCCTGGATGGTTATTTTGACTGGTGGAATAATTCAAGATACAGGGAAAAACAGGCAAACCTGCATCACTACGATGACTTGTCCTCCTATGGTGCCGTAATAGTGCAGTTGGTGATCCTTCTACTAATACTGTGTGTGTTTGAGGACTTCTGCCATGTCCAACACCTGGAAAAATAATGAATGGTGATTCTTTGTTTTGTTGTGAATATTAAAACCATTCAGGAATATGGAGACATGCATTAATATTCTTAGCTTTTGAGTTTCTTGTAAAGTTACACGGTACATTTGGGGCACACCTCGCAATTTTTCCCACCTTCGTAAAAGTCAGAAAAATTTTGTGATTCAAATTAATTTTGAGGGTGTAGGATGGCAGAACAAAACTATTGCAGAGAAATATGGTTCTTGATGGTTTTTCTACTCTACAGTAAATATAACATCGATACTTCATAATGGGTATAATACTGCCGTGCTAAGGAGGAACGCTGTATGAACCTTCAGATGCTGCCAAGTTTCTTCCGATAAAAACTGACTTTATTGGGAAAATTGTGAATATTATTTTCCAAAATTTTCAGACAACTTTGTACGCAATTTAATCTAAAATATTTGAAAATTTCAAGGAAAAATATACATGTATGTTGTCAAAAATACATGTTTTATCAAAAAAAAAATTTAGCAACTCTCGAATGTTTATACAGCGTTCTTTCTTAGCATGGCAGAATAGAGGAGTTGCAAGCTCACAACTGGCTTATTGTTGATCTAATAATAAAATCCAACTTTGTATCAGAGTCTCTCTTTGACATCTTTTTCAGAAAATAGACTCCAGTAGTCAGAATTACATCAGTATCTGCACTTAATCACCTGGGCACTTTTTGACCCCTCTTTTATGCTGGATCAGATTTCGGCTTTTATGGTTTTGTTTGGGCTGCATCATATTTATTACAGACCAACTACTGGAAATTTTTAGTATTACATTTTGTGCCTACATTTTACATTTTTTTCACATTAACTAACCTCTTTTGGAAGAGTCTAGGAGCCACTTTAATGGTTACATCTAACCTTAGGTGCTCTAATTACCAGAAAATTCAATGCTGGAAACGTAGACACCAAAGATTTGTGCAAGAGTCAATTCATTAGAGTCCCAAGTTACTGTGGTAGGTATGCTAAGGTGAAAAAATTAAAGCCAGTGTCAGCTTTTTGAGTTTGATGCGTTTTACTCCAAATAACTGATCTAATGCCAGCGTCTGTGATACCCCATAAATAAGAAAGATTTCTGAAGCGATGGTCTGCAAATGGGTACACTACTTACCATCACATAATTTATCTTGACTACTAGATCTCCTATAACTATTTTCAACAGCTGCTGTGATAGACATTCTAAGAAGGTCTTCACTACTTGAACTCGCCCCTGTGCTTGATGCAGGACCAGTTCGATGTGAGGCTGCTGTTCTCAGCGCCTCTAGAATATCTTCATGATATCCATTCAGACTTTTTAAAGTCCTTTCGACTTCTAGTACCGCACCAGTGCCTCTGATATCTGCTCCGACATTATTGTCTGACTGTGACAACGTTTCTTGATTGTCTGAGTGCGAGTCCATTTCTGACCATTTCTCTTTGTGACAAGGTTCTGTTGTTCCATACGGGCATGGCTTCTTCAATATTCCTTTCTCTGGTAGTTTGGAGAGGTTATTAGGGGGTATATCGATAAACGCCACCGACTCCTCTTCCCCTGAAATAGTTAAAAAAGAAATATAATGAATTAATAGAGGGCTATCATGAGAGTTGAAAAATGCTTACTACGACAAGTTGACTATTATATTGTGTAATTGGTTGGTTCTGAAGATAAAATAAGAATGGAATTATTTACTAATTCAAAAGTTTATTAGAAATTTGGATTTTAGAAACACACTCAGGGTAAGCTTTATCATCCGCTGAAAAGCTTAACAATACTTTAACAAATGTTTTTAATTGATGATGGGGCCTTTCTAAAAAGTTCCTTCAATATTGGATTGTTACATACAAAACTACAAGACCTACTTTAGGTCCATTCAATTGCCTATTGCCCAACCTCCTCTCAGATTTTTTGCATCAGTTTTAAGTGGGTGCACTAATGCACTATGCTATTATGATCGTAATATTCATGTTATGTTCAATGATAAAACATTTACCCTATCCAGTTGATTTACAGGGTTCTATGAACCTACAGCTTATTGGCTACTGTTTTCTAACGAGAAATAAAAAATGCTCATTTTATATTTGGAAGTGAAAGATGGTTTCCGCTTTTCTAAGGTTGTGTCAAATGACTTGATTAAAAAACTCACGGTGAATATGACAAAACTGATGGAAAGTCGCTTGTTTTCAATATTTTAAAGGGAGTTTCCGGAATCATTATTGATTTTATTCCAGTACGGAATTGTTCAAGTTAAGTGGAAAAAATATACTCTTTATCAATCTTCATATTGCTGGGGTAATAGGTTTGGGATCGATTCACTCTGACTTACAGAAAAATAGTTGAGGACTAGAAATTTATAAAACAATGAAAAATAGTATAAAAATGCGAAACAATCAATGTAAAATGAACAGAAATGAAAAAAAAAAATACCGTTAAAAGTACCAGAGTGGATGGGATCTTCATCGCTCCCTGAACTCATACCAAGTCTTTTCATTTTCTGCATTTGATGTTCTCTGAGGGCATAAAGAAAAGGATACATTAGAGACGCACCACCTTGCTATTAACAAAGTCGGAGATAAAAACACAAGTGAGGAATATACTCATAAATTGCATTATTTTACCTCAACTTGATTATTTAATGACTTCCTTCATGACTAGCTGACCAAAATACTGATGAAATAAAGATACTATTGACAAGACTTAAAGGCTGCAGAAATCATAAGAAAATTGTATATTTTTACTATCAAGAACTTTGAAAGATCTAGAATTTGTTAGAACTTTTGATTTAGTTTATTCTCACCAAATTTTCGGACAATAGAATGGATATTTGAAAATTTTCCAGTTTTCGGTGATGAGAGTTAGTTCTGAAGAAATCTGAAAAATGTCAAGTCTTGCTGCTAAGGACAATATAAACGACCATCAGCAGGAAAAGGGGCCTCAGCACTGTTGCCAGATACTTAGTGCTGATTCAGCATTTTTCACCATTTAAACTAATACGGAATATTCCCATTTTATTGCTCCACCTGGGAGCTCTGGGTCTCATTCCTCAGATTTTCAAAAGAGCAATTTCCATCGAGTTGGGTCCAAAAATACGATAATTACAGGAAACTCTCTGGTATCTTAATGTAAAAACTGAACGTAGTTCAGTTAATTTTTGTGTTAACAGAAGGGGCATGAAATAGCATTACGATCCAGGGCCTTGTACCCTAGATAAGGACAAATTAGAATTTTTAACAGCTTCTCCTCACAGCCAGGTTCTTTGAGCTGCAAACTTCGAACTGCCGTAATTTAGGTTTGGTTTGGAATTTTGGCGTTTTTTGTCCCAAAATGTTTGTAGAGCACTCCTCTATGATCTTGTATCGACAACTCAATTTTGAGTTTTTGTAGACTGCGTCATTTTTCTCATGGATGGACACAAATGTAAGTATGGGATTTCACTGTTTTTTTTTCTTCATACAAAACGATGGAAATAACTCTCACGTCTGAACATGTCAAGAGATATCAATACATGTATTAGAGACTCAATATGAATGGAGGTGTAAATTTTAACACAGGCTAAAACAATAAAAACATTTTACAGCATGCATCTTTTTAGTTTTGGAGGAAAAACATAATTCATATACTACTTTGGTGCAAAAATTAAAAAATAGAAATTAAAATGAGGAACACAAAATTCTAGAAGAAAAAAGTTTAAAACTTTTTTAGAGAGACAACGTAAAAAGAGAAAGAAAGGGAGAGAGAGAATGAATTAAAAAACTTCTGGAAAGAATCACAAAATCTAGTGAAACTATCTGATTGAGTAGCTTCCATAACACTACATTTCATCTCTACTTCTTAATCTCTGAGAAATGGTGCACTGATATGTGAGAAAAACACTATTGCGGATATTGAAGCAAACTAGGAGAAAAAGATTTTTAAAAAAAACAAACCAAAAAACTGTAGTTTGTTTTACTTGAATTAAATAAAAAAAAATGGAAAAGAGGATAAACAAGAGGCACTAAAGAAACAACTAAGGAGAACACAGATAGCATAAAATTCGTAGAATTCCTCCAGCTCAAACAAATTTATTTTGATTGTGCTGTTTCAGTATTTCTTACTTACATTTTATTTGTTTACGGCAGAACCGTCACATGAATTTTTCTGGAATTTCTAATAATTTTTTTCCTAACCCTTGTGAAAAAAGAATGGGAAATTTTTAGACAGATTTGTATGACATTTCTCCCACAGGGGAATAATTTTTTCTTGGAAATATGGAGATGGTTCGGGCGAGGCACGTTCCCTCAAGCCGGAGACCTCAAATTAATTGCTCAAAGTTCCATCAGTGAGTGCATTTATTTTTACAAAACTTAGTTGCTGATGCATAATAAATTAGATTCTTCAGCAAATAATTACGAGTACCCCTTGCAAGCATGAGAATTCTACCCTGTTTTGTAATACCTACTGACAATTTTTTTCCAACGACGACGAGCAAAGTATAAAGTACTGTGATTATGGTTCAGTTAAATTAAGAATTTCAGAACTTCTGAAGAGTACTACTTAAAGCTTTATGATGATAACACAAATCAGAAAAAGACTGAGCAGTCATGGAGGAATGGCAAGGATTAGCCAATTGAAGACCTCACACCAAAATTATTGAGTAAGCAAGCACTACCAATTTAATGAAAGGTACGTAAATCAGAAACGGCAGAGATTGTCCTACAGTCTGAAGGTATCAATGATCTTGAAATATTATTATAAGCCATAAATTTCTATGGTGATATTAAAATTTAGTCTATGCCAAACTACCAAAAAAAATCCAGTTTACTCTTCAAATATTACAACAAGCAATACATTTCAAATCTACTACAATAATAGGTTTATGGGCAACATCGCTACAGCAAAATTGAGAACATAAGTAGACAAAAATGAGACTAACTGATACGGAGAAGCCATTCTGCTTCCAACAGCATTGTGATTCATCCCACGATACAAACTTCGTTGTGAGTCACAGCGACTTAAAAGACAAAAGCAAAAAACACGAGAATAGAATAGCTGAGGAAAAAGTCTGATGCAAATTATAGATAGAGATAAAGATAAATAAAATCCATTCAAAATTTTTTAAAAAGCGCATGAGAATAGATATTACTAGAAAATGAGAAAAATTCATAGCATATATTAATTCTACTTATTGATATAACAGAACAGCCATTCACATTGATTTATAAAAATTGAGCGAAAAAATCTAAAAATTCCAAGAAGCTTAAATGTAATCTCTATCGGGGACACTTTTTTTTAACAAATTTGACCATTCACGCAGCCAAAGAAGCTGATTATATCAAGATAAGGGGTTCATAGACTGTCATGGTGCCTGTAGTGTTGCAACAATTTAAACTGGGAATGTTGAAATGAGTCTTCGTCAATAAACTAACAGTGCACCTTGTTCTGAAGTACCAATACATTCTGAGCAGGCAGCTGTCGGAGACAACCGGCACTATCAGCACTGCAAGAGCTCTAAATTAAAGCATTGTTATCACCTACATCCATTGTTGGATTTCTGGGTCATGAAATTGAAATCACTTGGCAACAGCTCATTTCCGCCGACTTTGAACATTTCTAAAGCTTTTGTAAATGTCTTCCAGACGTTTCAACTTGCAGACAGAACCATCTCAATAGCTTATTGAAAACTGATACAAGTTGTAGAGGTACACACTTCTACTCCATCTTTTCCCACTTTCTCAGTAAACCCAAATCTCCCTTTTGAATATTCTTGATTTCTTCGAAAAGTAAGCATTTGCAGAAATTTAGAGAGGAGTAAACATTCCTGAGAATTTACAAACCTAGGACCTCAAATCGGATGAATCCACAAACTTTTAGATCTTGGTATTTTTCAATCAAATATTATTTTTAAAATTCATGACTGACTACCTCTCTAACTTATTCTTCAACTGATACACATTAGCATGACTAAATTGACGTAAATTTCTCCATGAGGAACCGTCTGCATGAAAAGGAGCCTCTGTGTCAAAAAAGTAGTAGGAGAATTATTGGATATACTGTCGAGAAGGGTGTTTCAGAAACGTTTTGGCACAAAAAATCCAAAAACTTCAAACCAAACTGAAGTTACGATGATTTGAAGACTGTAGTTGAGGAAATGTATTTTAAGAAAAAACTACTCAGAGTTTTAATCTGATAGACTAAGAGCTAAAAATTTTCCGTTTAAAATTCAACTGCACACCCTCTACTACCTCTAAAATGAACTAGGCCTCTTTAATTTATTCTTTGACATTATATGAGCTCTTATGATAGTTTTTTGACAGGAAATCCGATTCCAATTTTTCAACTTAACTCGCGAAAAGAAGCTGTAATAAAAATTTTGTCCCTATACTCTGAAATCCATTTTCTTCCGGACGATCTGGTACACATTAATAATTGTTTGAAGAACATAAAGTAAAAAAGCAAATGAATAAATTGTGGTTGCTTACCTATAGCAAGGCGTCCCCTCAAATGGTAAGATTTTATTGGCTGAGTCTTCGCTACCATCTTCTATAGTATCAATTTTGTTGGCGTATTTTTTGGGCAGTGGCTTTTTCACGTACGGTTTATCATATTTTGGCATGGTGCTCTTCCTTTTGATGGAGGAAAAAAGGGATCAAAATGAAACAATACAAGAGAAATGAAATTAAAGAATAGGATTAAAAGAAATTAAAAGAGTTCACGAATAAAAAGAAAGATGAAGAACAAATAAAGATAGAGAAAATAAAAAAGAGGTTGTAAATAGAATTGAACCGATTCGTCAAAAATTTAAACAAAGGGAAAATTATACCATTCAGTTCAGAGGAGAGGAATGAGGATAGTGGAAGAGGGAAGGAATTGAAAAACAGAACAATAAATTAATGAACTTGCAAATATAAGAAAAAAGTTATTTGTGAAATTTACAAAATAAATTCCATGAACCATAAAAAAATTAACATAGCTGTTGGCACAATGAAAGAATATAAACATCATGGATATTCAAAATCAAACTAAAAACCTCTTGAACATAACAATGTAGATGTTGAAAACTTTATGGTCTGGTCCCTGGATGGATTTACTGAGAAAACAAAAATAAAAGCTGGAAAAGAGGCGTATCAACACAGCCCAGAATCGGTCCAGTTCGGATTTACTACACTTATAACTTCATGGATCAAAGGTTGTCTTGTACATTTAGATATTTTTACAGCTTGAAAAATGATCTTAATATATCAATAGAACCACAAGGCTGTTGATTCCAAAAATGACCCTTAGTTTTCTCTGTCATGCACCGATTTTCCAGGAAATGAATTTCCTTCAAAAAATCTTTTTTTTTAAAAGGAAAATCTCAATTGTTTGGGAAATTAATGGGTGTTGGAAAAAAACCAAGGTCACATTTAGACAGCGATAAAGATTACTTCACATTTTTCCATCAAATGTTCCGTTTTTTTCCCCTTCTTCTTTCCTCTTTTTTTTTGCAGACCTGCTTTGATCCAACAGGACTCAATTTTGGACTTCATTGACTATCCTCCGATTTAAGAAATCAAAAATCTCAATTTTGTAAATCAATTTAGAGATATAATTGTGGCACTTGAGTGACTATTGAAAATTACTTTGGTAAAAGCTACTTCAGTGAGAGCTAGCTTAATATTCAGAAATCACTGAAAACTTGATGATTTATTTCCTAGAGAAAAATTAGAAATCTATGATCAAAATTTTGATGCAAAACTTTAAAGAAAGTTGCTTTGATGATACAACTAAATGAATTCACTGAATTCAAAACTAAAAACGACGTCTAATATATGCTTTTAAGTAACGCAAGGAAATAAGAGGGGAGTCATTTTTCACACATCTTTTTTTTTGTTGGCATTAAAATACCACAGCTATTTAAAAAGAAGAAAATAGAATTTTATAATTTGAGGCATCAGCATCAGTAACAAGCCATCTTATTTCCTCCGTGGTGGTGTCTTCTTTTATCTTTCACTCTGGATTTATGTTCATCAATGCTGAACCAGCAAAATTGAACGGCACTAATTGTAAGCCATCTTCAGACAGCCAAAATCTGATTATCAAAATGGATGAAGCATACTGATCAATTCTGAAGATATTTTAATTTTATGGAGTGAAAATCAAAAAGAAATTATTCTCTAGAACGAATCTCTTACAATGTCCTCCCAAAGCGCAAAAAATGACTTTCAGGGACTGATATTCAGAGGAAAACATAAATATTCAAATTCCACACCACAAAATTTAGAGCTCTTTGGCCAGAAAGCTAGGATTTTAGGCGCAATTTACAATTTTTCAAGAGGCCACAGACATTTTTGCAGATGAAAGAGGAGATTTTTGGTAAGTTAGCTCAACTTTTTGGGCGCCATTTATTTGACGCATTCTGTGCATAATGCTCATCAAATCTAGAGTATTGCTAATCCTAAAAATAAATTTTGTAGCCTTGAAAAAGCATTCATCAGATTCATTTTTCCACTGCTTTAATATCTAAAAAGGGGTTTTTAGGGTACTTGGTATTTGATAAAGGCGCAATACATTTCATCAGTATTAGTGAATTTTTAAAAAAGTCACCTTTACCTGACAGTTAAAATTTACCTTTTAAAGATTGGTGTTTTAATTTTTAATAAATAAATTATTCTTTAAGGATACGTGCACTTCAAGAGTTTCTTCTGTACAAATAAAATGAAAGTAAAGTCAAATGCTCGAGTTCAATGCTTTAAAAAATTGAAGGAACAGAATACAAAGAAATAACATTAATCAGCTTATGAAAATGTGCAATTGAGAATTCTTTTGATGCGGAGGAAAGAAGATGACTTTTTAAATGGACCGCTTGACAAGTGCAAATTTAAGCAAAATGATATGTGTTTCCTCATCAAAATTTCTTGTAAAACACAATTTGTGCAACAGAAATTGATGGAGATAACTCCTAACCAAGATATTAATGTTACTCAATGCAGAAATTTTGACTTCCTGCTCATGAAAAACCACGATCTACTCGAGTTAAATTGCACGCAAATGTTACGGCAACAATGTATGCGGTATGAAAAGATGGTAATCTCGATCTCAGTGCTTCGGCTTACCTGTCCTTTTTTGTTCACACTTTGAACAACACAGGGCAAGGAAAAAACGCTTCTCAATTTAAGGAGCCTACAAAATCTTTTGTAGTGTGCGATTTGATTGTTGACTCAAATGTTTCATAACCAGTGTTAAATAAAAACATTTATATTTTAGTTAGAAATCCATTTCAGAAATTTGCATGGCGCAAATTGTACTTGACGTAAAATTTTGAAAAGAAAACATAAATTAGAATGCTTAAATTTTTATTTAGTCTAGTGGTTCATTGCACTATTATTCTTTGTACATAATTGAATCGCTAACTCAATGGCTTACTTTAGGAGAACTTCAGGAAAAGTTCACCTCAGATCAAAACGAAATAAATTAGAACAAAAACTATACAAGTAATAATCTGTAAATAACAAATTTAACTGAGAAATTGTGCGATAAGAGTTTGGCATATTGTTAATTTTCATCTCTTAATGAGTTACAGCTCACAATTAAAAATCATGCACATCAAAATGAAATTCATAAATATTTGAAAAAGCCACCAGCTAGAGCTACCCAAAGAGCATTTTCTGACTGTTCCTTCTTATTAAAACAGGGTATTAACAAAATATAAATAAGCATTCATTTACATTGTTGTTATTTTAATTTAATAACTCAATTATTTCATGAGCTTGATTCCAGTCTTTCTTGATTTCCTGACAAACGAGTAGTTTACAAAGATTAAGATCAGAACCAAGCAATGGGTCAAGGGACGTTGCACTAGTCGCAGTATTGCATTTTGATATTTTAAACGGTTTGATTCATTAACAAAAATCTTTTTTGTTTTTTTTCGTTTGAAAAAACCTACTTGAATTTTTGCTATTGATTTCATGGGTCAAACGCTTCAACTGCTGTGGATAAATCAAATAAATGCCACTCTTGATCCTAGATAAAAATAAAAAATTATGTATATGAAAAAAAAAAACATATAATTAAAAAAATTAGAACATTAATAACCAACCTACTGACGTACAGATCATGACAAAACAACATTAACTCAAGAAAAAAAAAGAAGAAAAAAGAGGGGAAAAGAGAGAGAGGGAGAGAGGAAGAGAGAGAGAAAAAAAAGAAAAAACATTCAAAGTCGAAGACGAATAGCAATTCCTCAAATACCCAGTTCCATAAAATATTTTGACTGCATTTTAATATTTTGAAAATTAAATGATACGCTAAGCTATGAAATCCTCAGGAAAAATGTTACACACAAAGTGTTGTCAAAAGCAGTTTGGTAAATGCCCAGTTACAGTCAAATTAACGATGAAACTCATTGAGAGTAAAACTAAAAATCGGAGTACCTTCAGAGCAACATTTCAACATTTCCTCACATACTGGGAATTGAAGACTGGGACTTTCAACGGAAGAAAACACAACTGTTGCGCATACATAGTTTATAATGTGTTTAACATTTTTTTTTCTTTCACATGTCTTCGCTACTACGGACTCTTGATAAGCCTGTTTTTAACATTTTAATTTCAAAACTTTGATCAGTTCTCTCAGGAGTGGGTGCCATGAAAACTCCAAAAAAAGATGAGTTTCACCATGATAAAATACTTTAGAAAGTGGAAAAAGTCCGAGAAACACTATCATCTACAAACGTTTTAAACAGGTTTTTCTTGATCAAGCTGTTTTTTGATCCTTATTTCAGCCTCAAGGCGTTGCTGTTCATTAAAAAAAGTGAGTAGGTTTCTCTTATTTTTCTAGCATCTCCTCAGTTAGCTGAAATTTTGCTAGTTAATTAATATGAGTTTGCGATAAAACAACGTTCTTTAGGAAATGCAGAGAGTCTAATTCACTAAAGTAAAAGCAAAAAGAAAAAAAAAGAAAAAGGAGGCCATAAACATGAAGAGAAACCATTAATAACCAACAATAACAAACAAATAGGTACCGAATTTTTAAACATTGTAGCTTGCTGGATGCAAACACTGATTCGAAATGAATAAAAAAAGTATTAAATACATCCTTATTGATAATATTTGAAAGAAACAAAGAATCTGGAACACTTAAAAAAGAGCAGCTGACTTGTTGTGATAGCATAACTGTGGAAGAAAATTTGTTAAGCTTGCATGAAAATTAAAGAGAATCTACCAGAAAATGCATGGCTGAAAATTTCAGAGATGAGAAAAGAAGAAGTGAGTAAGATAGTATAAGATATGAGATATTTAGAGAGACTGAAAAGAAAACACGGAAAAATGCACAAATGATTGAGGCCTTATTTGCTTATTCACAGTTATTGAGATTGCTGTATAATTGAGGATGTGGAAGGAGCGTTAACTGATTGTCATGTATGACTTGTTTGTGGGATTTCGCATAGGTATACATTATCTGAGTTCCCTCTAACATTTCAATATTTTATAGTTGAACTTCTTAGTCCTTCAATGATATAAATCAACTTGATTCAATTAAATCAGGACAACCCAGATGTATTATAATCACGAATGCATTGCTTAAAAATTTCACCGAATTAATCAAACAAAAAATTTGTCAACCACCAGTGACTCAATTATCCTCTTAGGTGTGCAAGATTAGCTGGCATTGTTTTTCTTGCTGAATTTCACTCGCTTTCGCTTTGCACTAAAGTAAACAGGAGGAAGAAACAGAATGCCTACAGCACTTTCTAGATCATTCCTCTCTTGTACAATAAAAAAAGTTTGTTGTCCAGTTTGCTTTGACTACACGGGTTTAAATGAACAATCCGGAAGAACGACATAGAAATGGCTCAAAAATGCATGAATTTATGAGCCAGAGTTTCTTCCCCCTTTTTCTTGTCTTATTATTATCCTCTTTCTCTAGATCTCTCTTTTCTAAGGTGTTAATAACTTTGCTTTGTTAAGGCACCTTCAGATAAACATATTTTCAGAACATATTTCAAACTTTATCTTTATACACTGCAGGGAAAGAGATGTGCACCACAGAATTGAGTGTTTGCCATCCAACTTTCTTTCAAGACCAATTACAATAAAACTTTTTGAAAATTTTATGCTGTTTGCGATTTTCGACAATGAACTTACACTAAACGTGCTTATGAGTGATTCTGACATTGCACTAGCTAAAATTTGACAAGGTAAGAGAGCAATTTTGTTTGTGGTAAAAACCTTGCTAAAAGAATGTACCATGTCCTGTAGTCTAGTATTTTTTAAAGTGATGCGTTTGTCAAGTGGACAAGACTGAGGTTAAATGGATTTATTTAATTAGTCAGCTTTGTCAGTCCTCTCCTTCAAATAACGACAAGCTAAAGGTACCTCTAGAGTTGCCTATAGCTTGTCATTATTTCGACCGGACATAGATATGATAAAATAAAGGACTGACATAGCCATCCAATCATCTAAATCTATTTCACCTTAGTCTTGTCTTGGCCAATCGACAATTACAAAATTTCGATAATTAGACAGCTAATGCCTGTTCATAAAGCGGAGTTGACAGCAAGAGATCTGAGCAAATTTGGGGGGAGTATCTTTCCGATGAAAAGAAAATGACCCCTTGGAGCAAGCAAGTTTTAATGCACTGTTCGATTTTTCAGATTTGCCATTATATGGTATTCATCATGAAATTGATAAAATTACATGTTGTATGACTGCAAAATGATGAAGTACTCAAGAAAAGGAAATTGTAAAATTAGTCGACACTCACTCTAGGAATACATTGATGCACTAAAAAGCATGTCAAGTTGTGGTCGAACAAATTCTTTTAGTCTAAGAAGTTTTCTAGGGGCTCGGTGTACTCAAAATTAATTTTTAAATATTTTCTTGAAAGAGGGAATTTTGTTTCTGAAGAGACAAGGGTGCTTTCATGGAAATTGAGTGCAGTGGAAGGACACCTACATTTGTGAAAAGGTAATTGTGATAGTTATTGTGCTTAACTTTAAGTATTGGGAGGAAAAATACAAAAAAATAAAATGTTCAGCTGACTTTCAATTTTTTATTGATAAACTGTCTCTATCAAAGATTTTCAGTTTTCTAGAAGTTCTTCCGGAAGAAAGAAAGAAAGAAAAAATATATTTGCCATAGGGCCATATGGCCGGTTAAAAGATTCAGAGAGAGAAAGTATGTGAAAAGAGGGTTATAAGGCTGAATGGAATTTCTACAATAGTAAGCAGAATGAAGAGAGAGAAAACTAAGGGAAAGGTGGAAGGTATAGAAGCTATCACAACTAGAAGCACTGACTAAGCAACTAAGACAAAAGGGCACTGAATGAAGTAGCTTAGTGGAATCATCTACCTTCTTTTGGATTGTCGACTAACCTTAGACAGAGGGAGAAGTTTTTGTGTACGACTACTGACCTATAGCAAAGTGCCATCATTGCGAATACAATAAATACCCCCCCAACGGCCGCCATGAGCGTTGCTACAAGGTACACAGTATTTGCACTGTGCGAGTTGACTGGACATTAAAAGTATGGAAACAGTAATTAAATGAATCACAAAAGGAATTATTTTGAAAAATAAATGTTAATATAAGGGTAATAATTTGACGTGAACATACGCAACACCGATGAAGAGACGAGTAACGTGTCAAGTTGAAGGCCATCACCCGATCATGCACAGACATAGAAAAACACAAACAAATACAACAAGCCAATAAGAAACACTGCAAAACAATCTTTTACAAAGAAAATAATTGTTAGGAGAATCAATTTGAGGCCATTTAGGTACTATGAATCTGAGGAAACTTTTTCCCAATTACATTAATTTTATTATACATGGGAAATTATGCTTGGGATAAAAGAATCGTTGGTACGTTGCAATGGTACACCCCACCTACAAAATTATTTTAGATTATTGTCACACTAAAACTATAAGTTCGCAAAAGAAAACTGACATTGTTTTGGAATTTTACTGGTGGTAGTCTTTGCCAGTGCTACAGGGCGAAGGGGAGGATACTGAGCGAAGCGTTACAGAACCATCTATGATGAGTTTTCCCTTTTTGCAAAATATTTTTTGTCGTTGCCTCCGGAAATTGGATTCATTCTGGAAAAATGCTAGATTCAGCAACAAAAAGGCTAGAGTTTACAACCTTCAGGTGTGGCAGTGCTGTTGCCTTAGAGCATAAAGAGATACAATCGCAACACACCTTAGTATTATATACGGCATGGACAAGTGCCGTACACAGTGTAATTATCTTTGTGGGAAGGGGGAAGTAGGGATAACATTAATAATTTCCTGATGCAGTGCTATGCAGCATTACAAAATTTGACGTGACTCAATTTAAGGATGACCCCTGAAGAAGGATGTGAGTCTCTAATATCAGAGAGAAAAATTTCAGAATGTACCACCTACTTTCTTCCTAATGAATAAGCACTAAAGCAGCCATTTCAGCTCCTACACTTGACGTCTGTTCAACTTGAAAATTCAAGACATATGATAGAATTCTCAGACCAAAAGAAGATAAAACAAACCCTGACTACAGCCCATAATCAAAAGGATTATTTACAATGGTTAGTTACCTATCATTGTGAGAGCACTACTTTTACAGACATAAATTTTTTCAAGACAATATCCAGATTTTTCTACTTGGTTAATTTCTTGTTTTGGTTTTGTAAGGGGTATCGTAGCACAATGTATTATGTTTGAGCATTCAAATATCACAAAAATATAAATAAATATAAAATGCTCAAGCTTCGTAGAGAGAAAACTCATTATTTTTTGGGACAGTAAAACCAGCTTTGAGGATTAAAATCAGGGAATCGGGAAATTGAATCATGAAAATAGTAGATTGTAAAGCATACATAGTTTGCAACTTGACTTTATCAGGAAGAGAATATTTTTCAATGAACATATTGATGGAAAAAGCATTTCAAATCTCATAGCCATTATTTGATTGCTAAACTTCTATACATTTGAATCCAAATTTAACCTCTACATTTATCGTCAGCTCATGCGTAGAATGAATAAAAATCGATGTTGGCTCATCATCACATTAATTTAGTGAAAATCTTAGTCTATCATCCACCGCGGTAAGTTGCAATTGAATCTTTGCGGCACATCTGATGCGACAAACGACCACATAAAAATAAAATGGAAAAATATCAAAGCAATAAAAAAAGGAAAAAAAAAGAGTACAACAATGATCATGACACGTACACCGAAATCGACAGACAATATCAAGTTTGCGCCGATAAACACACAGTGAGGAGTAGTGGCCTATATGAGTGACAATACCTGTAGCAAATTGCAACTATGGCAAAGCAAATGAAGACGCCGGTTACACAGCCTACTAAAACGATTACTAGAACCCATGTACTAACAGCATCGGTCTTTCCTGAAAACATATTCTTCAGCGTCTAATTTTGTCACCTCTAAACATTTCAAAGATTCATGATCGCTCGATTTACGCAGGATTAAACCAATTTTAAAAGGATAAAAAGGAAGACCCTAATAAATGAAAAGAAGATCTTGGGAATCATGTAAGAAGTTCCTGTATTTTCTTATTCCTAAACATGCCCCTTGATTTTCATCGGCCAATTCTTATATAAAAAGTTCCAGTTTTCTCTCACTTTCTTTCACTCTCGTTAAAGGCAACTAGAATATAATTTCAGGGTTTGGAGCAGAAATAGTGATTTCCTAATTTTGGCTCTTTTTTTGTGTGCCAAATTAAAGTGGACCACCTTTAAAAACAAAATGACCTTGAAGCACAAAGAAAAGAAATTTCCAGTCTTTGACACAGATTTCATTATAAATTCCCTGATTTCCTCAGAAATTTATTGTTTTCTATAGACAGGTATTTCCCGATTTTTCAAGATCCTACACACCATAATCTTTGGACTGATGCAATTATTCCAATATGCTGATGAGTCCTGAAAAAATGCTCATGAAATCGGTGGACAAAGTTCTCCGGAAAAGCTGCCAGTTATGAAATTGGGAACTTCTGACAAAGCGTAGAGTGATTTTAATGAGCAACATAGCTAGTCTTACACCAAAAAGAGAGAATTTCAATCGAAGACTTTCTCCCTTTTCAGTTCTACCAACTTTCCCCTCATCTCAATGAAGGCAACCTTTGAATTATTGAACAGCCCATTCAGTGTTCAAGCAATTTAATTAAGGACTTCCATTCTCTGCCATTACTTGAACCAGAAAATCACTGTCCATAAGCTGTACATAATCAACTTTCCCCAGCTATAATATGAGACGGAAAAACTTCCATTAAAAACAGCATCTCTGCCTCTCTCTTGAAGAAAATCATGACACTTTCGAAAACTTTGATTGACCTTTTTACATTATGATTCGAACTCAGATATCACGAGGGAGAAGAATTATTAATTGACTAATGGTGCTTCCTCTCATGATAAATTAAACCTGAAAATCTTTAAAATTGCTGAGGGCCACATCACTCTTGAGCTGATGAAAAAATTAGAGACTAAAAAAAAATTAAAGATACAGTATTTACTGATGTATTGTCCGCACCTTTTTTTTTAAAAATTTAATCTCTCAAAGTGGGAGTACGTAGATTACATGGACTGTTGACACCTCACAACAAAAATCTGACTTAGGCTCATTACTAAGTAAATGAGCAAAGGCGTGTTATGTAAAGCTACTCTACAGCAGATTTGACAAGCTTCCCCCGCAATTTTCAACTTCGCTTGATACTTGGGCGGTGGGAGCAATTTAGGTCAGGGTTTGATGGAAACATTTGGTCAGATGAGGATTAAAATTCTTCTAAGTGGTGACACCATTTATAAGATAATGCTCTTGGACCAGAATCAGTTTTCAGCTTAAAAATTCAGCAGAAGATGCTTTAGAAAGTTAACAAATGCTGAAATGCGGTGGATTCGGGTTTCACCGTAAATTGAGCATGAGCGAGTATTTAGAGGAAAAATGAAAAAGTAGAGCATATTGATATGCTGTGGATGTTTAAGCATATCATAAGAGTCTTACCATAAATGATTTCTTGTTTATTCATGAGACCTTTGTTCAGGTTAGGCGGTTTCTCAGTACTAGTATAATTTTCCATATCCTCAGCATGTTCAGTTGGGATGGAGCAGTCTGGACCTGACCAGTCAATATCACAGAAGCACTTATTTTCATTATTACATACCTGCATAAAATTTGCAAAGAAAAATAATCAAATCAACAACTGATGTATGATTAGAAAAACCAAAATTTCATTTTAATTCCTCAAGGATAGAAACCAAAAAGAAGAAATTGATTTGAAACTCTTAAAAGTTTTTAATTTTAGAAGATGCAATACTACCCAGGTTGGTGAACTGACTTACAAACCAGAGTTTTTTTTAAAAAAAATAATACGTTATTCTCTCCAATGAAGGATTTAATTATTAAAACTCTGCCATCCCCTCTCTCTCTTTTTTTTTTAAACTGTAATTTTAGAATTTTCATTAGAGGAAAATCAATGAAAACCTAGAAACTTTATGCTCCTTTGCTGGAGATGACAAAGTCTGCCTAAAGGATTTATTTTAGGCAAGTTAATATAAAAATAACCACAGCTGGCAACTTGACTTCCTCCATTCACTTGTACTACATAGCTGAGAAAGGTATGTTAATCCTTCTACCAAGACAAATAACACTCTTCTTCCCAAAGTAACACTCAAGGACTCGTTTTGTACGAGTTATGAAAACAAAAGTTAACAGAATTGAAAATTTAAATTCTTTCCTTTACTTTATCTTCCATTTTGTGCCTTTAAAATATCTGCTCTTACTTGCTTTAAAAAACGATTCCCCACAATGGTCATGTAGGATCTTAAACTTCCTATACCGATTTAAACAAACTGAAAAAAGATTTGGCTGGTCTTACTAATTGTTCATGCAAATATATTTAGATAATTTTTATTTGTTCTAAGATATAAAAGTATAAATAACATAATTTAAACTTACACCATGACCAGAACATTCCATATTTACATGATTACTAGGACATTTTGTTTGGTCAATGTGCATAAAAAGGTTTGAACACGTTTGATTAACACAAATCTGGAAAATAGATAAATAATAATGCATCAGTGGTAGTTGAAAATATTAATAACTAAGAGAAATGGGCTGAAAAATTATAAATTGATAACATTGTTTCGGCTTAATTAAACTCTTTGAACAACTTTAAAAATTGATTTTGAAATTGATACAATTTTCTTTTTTAAGATGGAAATTTCATGGAGTGGATTCCCCCAAGAAAAAACTTTTTCCAAAAAAAAGGAATCATTCCTAATTTTGTCATGATCACAGCTATGTAGAAGCGATCAGAATGGATATGAATTACTGGCATGGAAAACATTTTTGACACAGCAAAATTAGGTCTGCGAAAAACAGGATTTTCCACGAACATAGATTTACATATTGTAAAGTAAATTATTTTACTTTTTCAATTGATATTTTGTTAAGATATTAAAATTTTAATAACTCATTTTTGGAGCTAATTAAAGTACAAAAAATTGTAAATTGAAATTTTTCTTGGTTATAGAACAATCAAAATATTGGCGGTTATAAAAAAATTCTTTAAGAAAATCGAATTTAAAAGTTTCTTACAAGATTTTCACCACAAGGAGTGCCATCTCGGACAAGTCCCATATCTGGCAGTTCACCATTTAGATCCTGACCACTTGTTGCTCTAAAATTAAAGAATGAAGAATGACATACATAGCATTAAATTTCTGATGAAAATACAATTTTTTTTAGAATAGATACCCTATTGCTACTGTCATATCGACAGTAGCTCATACATTATAGCATTGAACAACATGATTTGACAAGAATCTTTGGATTTTCACTTGTAAGTGGGGGAAAAACGAAGATTTCAAGTATGAGAAAGGGCATTGGTTGTTTTAATATTAATGAAGCACTAGACAGGGTACGAATTGAATCATTGTGATACAAGTTTCCAAGTCAAAATTTCAGTGGAACTTGATTTGGTTGACGAAAATAGCTTAATTTAATTTTCGTTGCCCAAACCACCTTCTATGAGAAATTTTGATAAGAGAACATGTATCTGAATCTAATTCTTACCTTGTCTAGCGGTCGACGAATGTTTCATATGGAACAAGAATTAGTGGTACTTCGTTCACAGCTTGTCCTCTTTCGTCAAATTCTCACAATTCAACTTTTCATCTTACAAAAGCAGATGAAAGGTTGAATGGATACTTGAAGTTGAATGGGACAAAATTTGATTCAATGGCCATTGCCGTTTGATATCAGCAAACAGAATTCAGGTACTTCTGTCAGGTTCTGGTTGGCAAACACAGCTTTGAAAGTTGCCAATTAGAAGATTTTGTTTTAAATTTTTCAACTTTTTACCCGACCGGCGCCATCAGTTGGGTGCAGAGTTGAACTGACTGTTGAATGTGAAGTCAACTTCAAGTATCCATTTAACTTTTCAACTGATTGTTGTGTTCTCGTGTCAACATCACACCACAATCCAACTTTTCACTCAGAAGAAGAGTTGAATTATGTGGATTGGGTTTTAAAATGCTGGAGAATGGGTCTGCTCAAAAACTTGTCTTGAGAAAATGCAATAATTATTACGCATGACACAAAAGTCCTTAGCTTGCCAAAACTGCTTTCAAATATTAGTTCTTGGCCAGTCATTCCACAAAAATTTAAAAAAACAGTGTAACTAAAAAGTGTTCAATGACAGGAGTCTTTCATGCGGGGTGTCTAGTTTTTTTTCATTTGGGGAAATCCTGATGAAATCCTGATTTTTGACTGCTAAATCCTGATTTCATGATTTTTCCAAATCCTGATCAAATCCTGAATTTTTGCAGAGAAAAATTGGCGAATATAACTTCCCAAAAATAGCTCAATAAAAAAATCTGATCAGACAATCCTGATTTGACGACCGATTTTTCCTCAAATCCTGATTGACTTCAAATCCTGATGCTAGACACCCTGTGTAATTTTAGCCAGATTTCCTAAACTAAATGTAATGAGGTAGAAAGGTTTATTTTCCCCCACCAAATTCCCTCAAAATATGGCTCCGTAATTCTGTCTAATGATACAATTGTTCCACGACTTTTTCAGAGCTGCCTTCGTGTTATATTTTCTCATGACCTTGAGTTGTCTTTAATGAGTCATGAAAACTAGGATTTTTTGCATTTCTTCATCTTGATATCTCAATGTTTTGAGAAAACTGAATCACATTCCAAGATATAGTTACTTACTTGCACTCAAACTTCTTTCCCATGATGGAGATTATTGTTCGAGAGTAAATTTGATTTTGACTAGCAGTCGTAGGAATCTGAGTACCACCTTGGCAGTGTAATGAACCACAAAATAAATTGCTGTAAAATGAAAATTATAATTAGACTCCTTCAATTCACTGAAAACTAAAATTTGAAAAACAAAATTATGACAATATTCCGTGCGGATCGAACAGAATTTAGAAGAGGCATCAACCAGAAAATGCCACATACATTGTAGCATAAACTATCCCATTACTTAAGTGTCTGTTGCAGGACTGAGAACTCAAGCTGGAAATTGTTGATGTGGAGTTTTTTTTAATTCCGTAACTGTGGAAGAAAAAGTTATTCGCTTTGCTGATTGGATGGCTAAAAGGATGGTATCATGCAAAAAGGATCTAGTTTGTTTGAAGGGAAGAGGTCTGTTCACTTTGAAGCAATCATGCTTCGCTACACAGCATTTAAGTGCATAATGAGACTTGTTGGCATGATCGGAATGATCAAACAAGAACTGGCATGTGGTTCTTTTTTGCAAAACATGAATCTCTGGTAACACATTTATCAAAAAGGGACCCCACGATCACAGTTACTGCCAACAAATTCTTATGGGTACTTACATCCCGTTTCCAAAAACACACGATGCTTTGAGGTCTCCCTTCAACATCTAACAGATTCGTCTTTCCTTAAAATTTTTATTTCTTTTTGCATGGTACTATCCATTTGTATTTTTGTCAAAATCAGCAATTTTTTCCCCTGAAAGCTGGCTATATTTATAATGAGCAACCTCAGAGAGGTATAATAGATACAAAATTTCAGTCCTTGATTTGAATTTTATATGACTACCCTCCTTTTTAAAGACATACTTACTCCAAATCACACTTGATGTAATTGCCATTGTTATCCACTCCACAATGACCCCAAATGGATCCTTTCAAGTTAAATTGTTCGTAACACTCTTTTTCACCAGGGGCTCCATCTGGAAAGAAAAAGAAGTTTCTTTAATTGATCAGCAACATTTGTAAAGCTTTTCCACTATCTTTTTCAAAAAAAAACTTCACCTGTAGGAGATAATTCTGGCAATTTCAAATAAATTTATCATCCGGGAACTCAAAATATTTTGAATATAGAAAATTCTGACTAAAAGTCACTGTTCCTGCAAGGAAGAATGGACAGATATTGATAAGGGTCAAAACCAGCCCATTCTCAAAAGTACGAGATTGTTTTCATATTTTGCAGTTGATGATATGTATTTTACAGAAACACTTGTGTTTCAGCGATATTCACATATTCTGACTTTGAAAGAGAGGCCCAAACTTAGGTCCAAAGGCCGAAATCCACAAAAATTTGTGTTTTTCTAGTGTTCCACGTCAGATGTCCCAAGCAACATATCCAAAGCTCATCAACCAACACCTTTGGGCCCAGCATAAATTTTGATGTGGAACACGAAAAAACCACGAATTTTGTGGACATTGGCCTTTGGCCTGCCGTTTCAGAGCCAAAAATGTGAAGATCACCGAAACTTGATTTCTGTGTATTATACACCTTCAACTGCAAATTATCGAAAAATCTCGAGATTCTGGGAGTGAGCCAAGTTTGGCCCTTATCGATTACCCTCCTTCATCATTTCGCGTAGGCCTGGAACTATCTGGTTTAAGAGGCAGCACTGTAAGCCTTTTTCTTTCGTTCATTTCTTATTCAATGATCGTTAGAACTCACTTCAGACAAGTTGATATGTGTTCATTTTTAACAATCATGTGTGGTGCACTGTTTTACAGATCAGCCAACTTTGACGTTACCCTTGGTCAATCCTCAATTACTAATGAACTGTGACAGTATAGCTGCTTGCAAAGAAGGGGTAAATAAATGTAGACTAATCTTATGCAAATTTCAACTCACTCTCGAAAAAAAAGTTCAATTTTATTGAAGGATGACTAATAACAAGACTATTATGCTAATATGGACTGAAATATATTTTCCTAGGTAATCTGAATAACTGACAAAATGACGATATCATGAATGAATTTCTCATACTTACTGTAACCCCAAATTTGTTCACATTGTAATTTGAAGGTGGGACAGATACCATTAAAGCAGTAGCCAGTGTTATTTGCACATGGGTTACCATTCTTTTTATACACATCTGGAGGACACTGGCCATTTTCGCCATCACAAAATTCAGGCAAATCACATTCGTTTGTTGATTCCCTGCAAATTCTGCCACGTTGTACAAGCTAAAACAGAGGTGAATAGAACACTTTTTTGAATCTGGTAAGTCAAGGGTGGAAGAAATACAAAACGTGGTCAATGATGGAAAAATTTTGTTACAATATCCGTATAGGGGAGAACATCAGTGCTTTCTTCGTCTCTTTCCAATCATGTATGATACTTGGTTTAACTGAATAGAGATAATTTATTGTAGTAGATACAATTGTACAATTATTTTGATTTTGGCATTCTGGATTGCATTTCATAGTAAAGAATACGAACTAGGTATGCAGGCCATTATAAAAATCTTATTCTGCTTGAATACTTAATAATGACTGTTACAATATCCTCCTCCTCCAAAAAAAAAATGAAAAAAAACATGGTACTATACTAAGAAACAATACAAAAAAGGACTAAGTTAAGCAGACATCATGTTATTCTCAATCTTTCTCTGCCTTGTCATTCTTCCTAATTTAGTCACCCCAGTCTCTCTTTGATACGTGGGGTCAATCTTAAATATTTTTACTCTTGCCCGACCAAACTACCAAACTGTTCAGCTTTGGCCTAATGATGAACTTTACGATAACCTACTAAAGTTTCATCAAAGTGTACGGAAAGCCAGTGAGCCCTCACTGGTGTGCAGGGGTCTTTAAAAATAATAGAAACATAAGTTTAAAGGTTTACCTTGCAGGCTTGACAGCATGGACCTGAGGCACATTTTGATCCGGTAGATAGCTTACAAGTAAAAGGATCACAGCAAGGGTCTTTGCTTCTACATTCTTCTATCGCACCGCAATCACAGTCTTCACCTTCTTCAACAATGCCGTTACCACATAATCGTGGGAATGCAAACTTTGAACAGAAAGTATCACAAATTTGTGAGTTAGTCATAGAGAGTTCAGCAAAATATGGACAATATGTGTAAGCAAGTGAAAGTTGTGAGTTCATCATTAAAACGCGATCTGAAAAGCTATCAGTATTCTTCATTTCGTTCACATCAATAAACTCAGATAATATGCTACCATCCGCAATGACCAGCCTTATTGGAACTGTTGGAGCTCTTATTCTGTTCATCGTTCTCCTGTATGCTTGTCTTTTGAGTTGTACATCCTCTAAAGCATAAGTACACCAGGTGACACCTCGGTTTCGCCAACTCCAATAGTGTTCAGTTAGAGTTGCCTTATCATTAAAACTCTGTACAGGTTTTCAACGCCTACTATGAGACCAGGAAATCTGATTAATAAATTGAGAAAGACTTAAAACTCAGGAGTAAAAGTCAGAGAAAAATGTTTGTACCATGCAAAACTGCAGAAAGTTAGGAGATATGATGAGGAGAGAACTTACCTCGTTAGGTTTATTTAAGAGGCATACTCCAGACCCTGAGTGCAGTGTGTTTTCATAGTCTGCAAGGGAGCATTCACTAAATTTATAAGGCTGTACATCGTGTAAACCTACTATAGATTGAGCCATGATGCATCCATGCCAATCACGACAGCAATTTTCACCTGTAAAATACGAAACAAAACATCAGATGTCATACAATAATCAAATTCATATGTGTGCGCAGGTACATTTGCTTGTATGTGTATTGTAGGAGTACATGATAGTTATAATGGCTATAAGCAGTAGTGTTCTAAGAAATTTCTCGCCAGAGAAAGAGATCCCCAAGACTTTGTGGCTTAAAGTCGTGTTTACCTAGAGCCATGCAAAGTGCTGACCTCTCATCAATTTACCTCGACTGCTAGGTTTTGTCAAAGTTGAATGAGTAATTGGACAAAATTTGAGCTGTCTACTGATATAACTGAATGCTTCGAATCTGAATAAGACATCAAATCTACAGGGGGCCAGTCACAACAATAATTCCCGATATTGGTCTGATTTCTCATGTCTGGGTGCACTGAAGTCTTGTTTCTTACTTGCCACTTACCTGAGTTCATTGTTTATTGTTTATAAGATTCGCCCGTATGAGGGCTTGGCCTTAGTGCCTAGCACAAACAGCCACTGACAAGTTGGTTGGATGAAAATCTAGAGTAGTTTAGGTGTTTTAGATATCCGAGCAGTACACATTAATGATTATTGGTGGAAGTGAAAGTTCTTGAAAAAGGAGGGGGTATCACTTCACAGATTCACTTCACTGATAATCGATGTATTAAATCACTTAGATAACTATTTTGTTAGAGCGGAGGAACTTGCTGAGCATAATGTAGTTTTCCTTAGAGGTGTTGAGTTTACCTTTGAATTCTTAAAAGCCATGAAAAAAAAGAGGGGGGGGGGAGGCAAGCTGCAATTAGCCTCTCTTTTCTTTGTCTGGTGCACAGGTCTACAAGTCAGTCTGGTAAAATGTGGGAGAGAAAGAGACAATATCTCAGCTCATGACTTTCTTACAGCCTGTCTTTTACTTCTACAAACAACTTAATAAAAGCAAAAAAGGTTAGAATACTTTGTTACACTTACGGCCATCGTCATGCGTCATTCCTAAATTGTGACCAATCATATGAGCCATTGTACCTGCTAATAAATGCGGCTCGTAAGTATCAATGTCGACACTAATACCTATTGCTTTTGCAGTACAAACATGGTCAGGTACAGACATACCAGCTTCTCCAGTTGTAAAAATTTCTCCTCTGAAATTCAAAATACAAAATAATGAAGCTACAAAAACAACAGGACGTTACACACAATTCTTATTTGCTTGGCTGCCATAGGATCCAGTCTGATGGTGCAGTCAGATCGCACATGTTGGTTTCGATACAAACAGCTTTGGTGCACCTACCTTCTAAGTTTTAATCAAGCTGGCTTCCAAAAAGGTAGTTTAAATGATTGAATCTATGAGTCAATTAATTTCAATTTACTTTGTTTTCATAAAAACCTAAGGTGACATCTCACGCGAAAATTGTGGGGAGAGGGAAGGGGGATGCTGTCTTAAAAATTGCCCAGGAAAAGGGTCTCTTGGACTGCTCTCAAGTTGAACGAACCCCCCCCCCCCCCCCCCCCCCCCCCCCNTGCCAAATTTTGCCTCCTGCCTTTAAAGATGGTCCAGTAACCGTGTGAATCCGTTGAAAAATGTCCCATACAGACTTTGGAAGGTTGTAAGCAGCAAGAAATTATGATAATGTCACAAACAAGTAATTTGAAGAATGGCTTTGAAAAGATAAATATTGGCAGTTGCTTCAATTTGGTAAAGATGTCAGGCCACCTTAGATTTATTGAACTTCAGTAGATTGATAGATTAAAATATTCTTTATTTCTGTCTTTTGGCTTAGTTCAACCTGGCGTCATTACTTGATGGGCATTTCAAGTTGCAATTTCTAATATGTTGCTAAAGTCATAGAGAAAATTAATACGCGATCACTAGGTACTTACGTAAGTAGCTGAGTAGTATCCTTCTCTACTTTAAACAAGGATCGTGATGTGTATTCATTAAAATTGACCAAAGCACGCGATATATCTTGACTTTTATTGATTTGCACCTGATTGGCAGCTTGCCATGTTTCAATGTAAACAACTGATACCCGCGTGTTAAGAGTTCGGAAGTACTGAAAAAAAAAAGAAATTCAATTTAAGAACACAAAATAAAATTACTAAATTCAATAAATAATGAATGGGCCAGCAGGTCGATTGTTGAGACCACTTTTTACTACGTTCACATATTATGACATGCCTGCAACTTTGGAGGAAATGAATCACACACTACGCGTGTGTTCAGGGTTGACATTTTGGCAGAATAGTATTCCAACCTTAAGGTGATTTGGCGGTTGCCATTTTTTGTGGCAGAGTGATATGCGATATATTACAACAATTCTTTCCATAATTTCAGCTACTTGTCATTTTTTTCACATTTTGAGATCGCACTTCTGTTGTCATGAGACTGAGGAATTCATATACCAACTTTGACGAAGAAATCCAACGTATTAGAGGGAGGGTTTTTTTTAGATGCCAAAATCACACGCTGAATGTGGGAGCTGAATATGGCTTGAATATAAATTCGCAACAATTCTCAGCGACCATCGGATAATGTCCTATTAGTCTGAACTATTCGAATAGATTTAATACACATTTGGATGAAAATAACTCGAATTAGTAAAATTTCAGCTGTTGAGCGCTTACTGTTGACTGCCACATTCAGCTGCAAAATTCAGCATGTGATTGCGGCAAGAGGAAAAATATGGCATTCGAGTGCAGTTTCGACATTAGTATTGAATGCGATATTTTTTATCTAAAAATACCCTGTCTTTATGACGTTAAATTTCTTTGTTAAATTTGGTACATGAATTTTTTCCGACAACAAAAGTGCGATCTCAAAGTTCGAAAAAAATGACAAGTAGCTAAAATTACGGAACAAATTGATGCAATATATCGCACGTCGCTCTGACACAAAATATTGGCAACCATCGATGGTTTCGATCGAAACACCTTGAATTTTATTCCTACTTTGTTTAAATAAAATAGATTCATTTGCCAAAGAAATATCTATGCCGGTTTGTACATGAGATGTCAATAATATACAGCCAGCTGCAGCATGATTATGAGAGAACAAATTAAACTCCATTTGATCAATAAACAACATCTTCGGCTGGTCTGGACTTCACATTTGAAGAAGTAACCGTTACCTTTAAATATCGACAAATTTTGTTCTCTAGATGCTCGCTAATATTCAAATGAATATATAACAACCTCACCACATTTGAGCAGACAAATGATTATGAAACAATAAAGAAATCTGCGCCGAATCAATCAAGAAAAGAATCACGTTTATTTGATTTTGTTTACAAACTGAGCTCCGGCTGCATGCGAGCCCGCGACGCGTCCTGCGCATGCGCCATGAGCGCTATGCAGTTTATGAATGAGCCATTCGAATCAGAGCGGACCAACGAGAGGCCGAGAATTCGTTATCGTACTCATCGTAGTACTATGCGTAGTATTTTGTAGTGAGTGTTGTCAGATCGAATGAGCGAGTGTCTGTATGAGCTCTCCAGGCCGCAAAACATGATAATAGACTCAAGATTCCCATTAGAATTTTGTGTTTACTCACAGTTGCGACAAAAATGTACCATAAAACTGTTTGCAAGGGGTGAGTCTCTGGTGCGCGTGGACTTAAAATCGCGAAAAATCAAAATCTTGGCTGATCCTAAACTCGGGATATCTACCGCTAAAAGAAATTTTTACAAAAAATGCAGGTTTTCTACGGATTTTAATCAGCTTTTTTATTTATTTGTCCATTGAATCGATGTTGATCGGTTCACGTTTTTATTTATTGTTCGATTCATGTCGATCGAATACATACCCTTCTCGTTACATGCAGACTACCTATCATACTATTTTTTTTTTTTTTTAACTGAACTATATGCCTTCTGCTGCGTCTGCAGCAACTGTTGTTACAAATATGCTGTGCGTCCTGATTTCAACTCACTGCATACTTGACTCTCTGAAGGCGTTTAATGTGCGAAAGTACAGAACCCTGTTGGAGGACAACAGAAGTGTGATGTACCTAATGAATCGCTCAATCCCTATTTCGTTCGTTCTCCGAGAGATAGCGCTACTTGCGCACATAACACGCCTTCAGAGAGTCATGTATGTAATGAACTAAAATCAGCACGCACAACATATTCGTAACAACAATTGCTGCCGACGCAGTAGAAGGCGAATTATTCAGTTAAAAAAATAGTATGATAGGTAGTCTACGTGTAACGAGAAAGGTATGTATTCGGTCGACATTAGTCGAACGCAAAATAAAAACGTGAACCGATCAACGTCGATTCAATAGACAAATAAAAGCGGATCAAAATCCGTAGAAAACTTGGATTTACCCTGAAAATTTCAAAGTGCAATGTCTCGAAATTAGGATCAGCCAAGATTTTGATTTTTCGTGATTTTGAGTCCACATGTATCATAGACTCACCCCCTGAACCGATTTTGGGTACATTTTTGTCGCATTTTTTTTTCTTTTATTGCCTCAGGACCACTGTGTTCTCATCTAACGCGCAAGGCGCACGACGCCTTCAGATGGTGAGCTGCACAGACCTTTAAACGAATAGCAAAAGGATGCTGCTTTTAGTCAAAGAAATGAAATTGAAGAATGTGAATAAGGAGTAATAAATAAAGACAGCGAAAAAAATAGAAAATAAGAATTTGAAAAATGTGCATCTTGACCTTACCAAATCCCTCCTCCTAATAAAATACGAATTCTACGAAACATAGTAAATATTTTTCTTTGAAAATTCTGTAGGATTTCATTATTTACAGTTTAATCGGAGTAAGTAGGTATCTGAGTAAAAATGTGGGGGGAAATGTCCGTAATCAACTTCCGTTCAAAATGGATACCACATCGGAGGCAAATTTTTAACGTCCGAATGTTCGTATTGACTTTTTCATAAGCACATAGTAGGTATGGACAAGCAGAGACAAACTGCATGCTCACAGAATTATTCATACTCACTAGGTCTGCGATGTTTGCAACTTGAATGGCATCATGGACAACTTCTGCTCTGGTGCTCCCATTCCTTCTCTCGAACTGTAAACAAACATAGTACATAATCAACATAAGTTGGGAAAAAAAATATTTGGATTCGTTCTATCCGTCAGTATTTATTCTTAAGAAAAATAAGACTGAAAAGAATGAACACTGTGATGCGTACCTATCTACTCAACGTGAAGTGGACCACGTTAAGCAGAGAGGAACCAAGCCACATCAGCGATTGCCCAATTTCATCGAGTAATTTATCTTTTTACATGAAAACGGTTGTGCAGATTAATGAGCAAATTTCGGTGAATTATCTGCATAATGTGAAGCAAATTCCTTGAAATTTTCAAAGGAATCCACACAAACGTTCTCTTGTAAAACATTAAATTACTCTGTTAAATTTGGCAATAGCTGATGTGGCTTGTTTCCTTTCTGCTGAGCGCGGTCCATCTACAGAGTAACGATTTGCTGACGACTGAGGGATGACCTGGAATAAGAGCGGATACTCACCTGTCAGTCTTTACCTAGAGGCGAACGACCGATAAAAAATGGACTATCCACGAGCTGGATCTAGTCCATTTTTTTATTGGTCACGCAATTTGAAGCGCGCCAAAATACGCCCGCAAGCAGGGTGTCTTCTTAAATAGACTGATCAAAAATCAGTACTTTTACGGTACTTTTTCAGTAGATCCCCAAGAAATTCAGTACCTCCTCAACAGAAAAATTCAGTACTTTTTCAGTACCTCCAATTATTGACGAAATTCAAAAAATGTCAAAAATTTGAATTTCGCTCAAATTGAGACAAAAACGACCAAAAAATTAGAAAAATTCCGGACCTTCTTGCGGAATTTCCGCACTTTTTCAATACTTTCGGACCGCCCTTAAAAAATCAGTACTAATTCCGGACTCGTAGACACCCTAGCAAGCAATATTTATTTACCATTATCTACCTTCTTTGTCCATTGCAATCGCCCGCTTCCACCAACAGGCTCCCTCCATATCCCCCCTGTCTCCTTTGTCTATAGCTTTGTCTAATAATTTCAACAATCAGCCGGCAGTTTGGAAGCATGGCGCTGCCCGCGACGCGACGCGGAGAGACAATGGCGAAAGAAGGCGAAGATCCACTGACCCAGTTCCGAAAATGAAGATGCTCATCGCGGCGAAGCCCTGCCCCTGCCCTCTGCCGCCTTTGAATAATTTCGAAAACCCTTCTCCCCGTGCGGGGCCCGGGACCGGGGGAGGAATTAAAACGGGGAACAATCGTCGGGGCGGCTGAGGTTTCGACTCGGGATTCAAAACCCTCCGCGGTACATCATCGTCGACAATAAAAAGCTGGGCAAAAGAAGGGGGGAAAAATAATAAACTCTCGAGCACAAAAGGGCCCGGCCCGGGATACTGTGACTTTTTTTTATACGGAACTGGTAATTCTAATTTTTATTCATAGAAGTTTGACGATGATAAAAATGAGCATCGACAT